CTTGGGGATTGTAGGCCGAGGAGCCTTGCTGACCTTGGTCTTCGGCTTGCAGCTAGGCAATTGAGTCTTTGGCTTAGCATCCGGAAGGTTGGTCTTGTTCTTTAGCACCTCGGGCTTGACCTCGCCATTGACGACGTGGGTGACAGGTTTCTCGACTTGGACGTCATCGACATGTGTTTCGATGCTGGGCTGGGGAATGAAGTGGCTCTCCGTGGTCTGGTAGATCTTGCGCATGACACCAGCGGCATCCAGCTTCTGGCGCCGAGCGGCCGACTCTTCGTCGCTCTCACTTTCGCCATCACTAGTGGCTCCAGTGGAAGATGCGGCGTCAGCACGGCCGCTGAAGGTGTCGTCCAGTGTGGACGCAGAGGTGCGACCATGAGAGATGTTTGACATTTCACCCAGGCGCATAAGCTGGATAGCAACATCCTTATCCTCTTCTGACATGCAGCTGCCGACGGTGGGGTCTGGGGTGGGCAGAATGCCACTCATGCCACTGTAGTTGCCGGTTTGCCCTGCGTATCCGATGCTACCGCGACCGTGGCGTTCGGACGACGGCGTCGCATAATATCCACCTTGCGCATATCCGTTATGGCTCTGCGGGGAATGCAGAGGCATCGGGTTCGTGAAGGGATTCTGTCCCGGGTGTACAAATGGCAGAGAGGCGCGCTGAGGCTCGGCGCGGCGGGCAGGAGACACGGACGGATTCGACGTAGCCGCTGGCATCTGAGGAGGCGCAAACAAGGGGAGTTCCTGGATGGAACAGGATGAGTACAGAGGCCCAGACTAACAAGAATAGACAAGAGAAGAACATTGTCCAAGACCTATGCGGTCGGGCAGACTTACCGAGCTTTCAAATTTGGCCCGCTTGCGGCGACCTCCCTCTACAATGTTCTCGAGGCTGATTTCGGTGTTGCCAATCTGCTCCTTCATTCTGCTGGAGCTGGACCCAGGAGCGCCGTCACCGCTGCTGTATCCATTAACGCTATCACTGTAGATATCGGCGTGGCCATTGGAGGTGGCGGTGTCCCGATTCTTGGAAGAGCGGGATCGACCCTTCTTGGGATTTGTATGGGCAGATCCGGAACGCCGGCCGCGTCCAGCATTAGGGGACGGGCTGCGCCTCCGAGATGTGCTCGATGAAGGCCTAGAGATTTCTTGGCCGAAGCGTGGTGGAGGCTGCAGGGGGTAGCCGTTACCCTCGAAATATTGCTGGGCGCTGGGGGGAGGGTTATGATACGTGGGCGGCACAAAGGGGCTAGAAGCAGAGGGGGACTCCTCAATGACTCTGACGTAGACAACCATGTTGTTGCGGAAGTTCTCGTATCGGGCGATGAGGGTTATGCCATTTTCGTCCTCGAAACTGACGCCCTTTGAGCCGGTCGGGCCACCGTACAGACCGTAAAAATTCTTGACGGTGGTGACAATGGAGTCGGTAGTGTCATGAGGATATATTTGGACTCGCATGGGGAGTCGCGCCCTGTATTGCGGTGACTCGGTGAAGAGAAGTTCAAATGCGACGTTCTTCGGCGACACCATCTGCCGGGGCGAGACGCTACCCTGGTTTGAGGTGGCCGCGGAACCGCCGTTGGCGACGCTTGTGGGCGACATGCTCGTCATTGTGGTTTGTGGTATTGAATCGATGGGTTTGAATGGAGGAATGTCGGGCGAGGGAAGTTTGATGGGAATGGGTTGGTGTGCGATGGGCGGGTTTCCGTAGAGCTGGCACGGAAAGGTTGGGACCCTGAGCCTGAGTCGGCAGTCGATGGGGCGGGACGGAAGGTATCAACGACGAGCAAGCCGAAACTTGAGTCGGATGAGTAACGGAATGAGGTATCAATCCACCGACTTATCAAACATGGACGTTATATCGAGCGTCCTGGGTCGTCGTGCGGTCAGCGCCAGACGGGGCGATCTGACCAAGGACGCTGCCGGAGCGAACGGTCGGAGAGGACGGTGGTTGAGGAAAGGAGGACGGGGTGGTTTAGAATCTAGGGCATGGACTGCAAAAGATTAGCCATGGGATGGAGATTGAGGACCGAATGGACGATTTTGACGGTGTGATGGAGTGTATCTGAAGAGAAGAGAAGAGGAGAAGTAGGAGTATGGTTAAGGTAGGAGGAGTAGTAGTAGGAGAGAAAGAGGAGCGGTTGAGCAAGGACTGGGTCGGGGAAGCGCACGGCAAGACGTAGCAGCGAAGAAGCACAACCAGGAAGAGAGAGCGAGCCAGACAGATCCCAGCCCAGACATCAAATCTCTCTCGACCTTGAGCCCGGCGGAAGCACAGGAGAGTCGGGTCTCGGGAATCTGGAGGATAACGGTGCAAAAGGATAGAAGACCTCGATCGCAAAGACCATAGGATCAGTTCAGACTTACCTTGGAAGATTGGCAGTGATGTTGGATGATTGTTTCTGCCGGGCAATTCGCGGGTTTGTGTGCAATGTGCATGAGAGGGAAAAAGAGGAGCCCAGTCGAGAGGTTACGATTTTGTGTCTGCGGTCCGTCAGTCAGTCCAAGTCCAGGTCCCAGGTCCAGGTCCAGTCCAGTCCAGTTTCTAGTTTCCCAATTTCAAGTCTGGCCAGGTCAGGTACCTTCCACATCACCCACCGTCAGTTCGAGTACCTGACCGTCTGGTCTGTCTCTGCTGGCGGGGGTGTGGTGGTTACTTGCCTTCCACAGGTAGGTACCTGACCTCCCCCTTGGGCCCTCCGTAAGGCAGTCTGCCTGCGCTGGCCAGCACACAGTACAGCGCATGTGCAGTGTGGGAAAGGCCCTGTTGTTGCAGGCGCAGCCCACTGTTGAGGTGACCAGGGCCCTATCAAGTGCCGATAGCGACCTGCTGGGTGACAGTGCGGAATGGACTGTGCCATCTTCGATCTCCCGTTTTTAGCGGATCATCCCCAAGTCATATGGCTTCAGGGCATTCGGTGCTGTGAGTAAGGCATATATCCCCTGAAGTAGAGGGACCTTACAATGGTCAAGTACCGCTGTGGCTCTTGGAAAGGTCCCTGAAGCACTGGGCCATTCCCCGATGCATCCCTTTCCCCCCTTTCCGGGGAATCGCCAGGTTCCTGTACCAGCAGGTCGCTAGCTCGCCCCAGCACCAGCCAGGCCTTGCCGCACCCGTGGACCTCACCGCACCTTGGACCTTGGGCAAGAGTGGGCGGCAGTGGCACCTGCCTACCGTATGGGACCCGCCCATCCCGTCTGGATATTCTCTTGGGTCACCTCACACCTCACACACTCCGAACCTGAGCGTGACGGAAGTGCAAAGGGTACCTCCACGTCGCAGGCGCATTTGCTCTGCGTCCCGACAAGACCCTTGGGCCTATCTTTTTCGAGGTCTATACGATCACTACCATGTATGCGAACATCTTGGAGTCACTCGTCCGGTTTCCAGGCGGTGCTACGCGGCCAGGGACGACGGCGATGCACCGGGGCCCAAGTCGCTCATGCTTGCGCAACTTGGGGGCCACACGCCCGCCCGCCCGCCGCCGCCGCGCGCACAACGACGATGGGAAGCGACACTGTATCCGTATGGATAGGCTTCTTCCTCACGAGCGGAAGCGGATCCGGACAAGGGCCTAGCAGGCCGTGGACTGGGGGGGGGGCTTGGTGGCATTTTTTGGCCATCTGGCTCTTCTGTCTCTTAACTTGAGCCTACCGATCTACCGATCAAGTGAGAAGGAAAGAAAACGAGAGAAAGGGTGCGTGTGACTGTGTGAGTACTCCGTAAGTGTGTATGTGTGTGTGTGTTGTAAGGCGGTCAAAGTCAAGATCTGCTGGGCTGACCGGTCTGATCCATCAAATCTCGTCAAGTGCCTATTTGCGGATATGATGGTCTTTTCGCCTAGCCGTAATTACCTGGGCCTCCCTTTCACCAGTCCCAAATCCTCTCTCTCACGCAGTCTCCGTCCCGTCGTCCTTCTAGAAGCCTCAATCTCTGGCAGGGCACACTCTTCGAATCCTGTTCCTCGGGACAGGGGGTAATGGGGTTATGGATTCAAGGGACTGACGTGCTCCATTTCGTTTTGTGCGTCTCTCCCCCGATTCATTTCGACTCACTTCAATTTACCAAATACTTTTTTATGTGAGGGAGCAAAGGCCGCAAAGGCGCAGGTTTACATAACCGGCCAGACGGTGAGATATACATGTAAATATGAACGAACAATCCTCCTCCGCCTTGTATATCTATATCCATACGGAACGGTAGACAGGGAGCATGACATACTGCTCCGTATTTCACCCTCAAAAGCCACACATAAGAACACGCACACTCACTCTCACACAATTATATGCATTCGCTCCGTACCGATGACGAGCAAGCGCTGCCTGTGCAAGGAACATACGTCGGGCATGTGTGTGTGTGCCTCGTACTGAATCTGACCTCACCTTACCACACCTCATTACATGGACATACTCTTCATCCATTCACCAATAGCAACTTGACTTTCACGCCTCGTGTCGGCTCACCCCAAGGCGACCCAAACTTGTTCAGATAATGTGTGTGTATGTACACACTCAGTACTCACTCACTCGCACACATTTCACGAGTCTCTCTCTCTCTCTCTCTCAAAATGTCAGAGAGAAACTTGACAGGCCAGTCAAACTCGCTCAAACCGGTCCGTTCTCCGCGAAGCAAACAAGACCACCAAAAAACCTTCAGGTCTTTTTTAAACGTCCAGCGTTTAATTCATACGGTGCCAATCCCACACCACAAGCAGCCTATTCCCTTTCATCCTCATCCAACTCTGTCTCTTCCAATTCGCCCAGCCATCCCTGTCCGGTCTTGGGAAGTCTGAGCCATCGAAACCTCCTCAATCCTGGCACACACACACACTCCTTCACTCATACACACACACACACACACACACACACACCTCGCGGACCTTGAAGGCCCCATCCTTTCTCATATGCGACTTTGCGCTCCCGTCGAGTGCTGTCCTTGTTTGCGCAAATCTGTAATATATACACCCTTCGGACCCTCGGGTTTGTGCGCAAATTCGTCAGCGATCATGAAGCCGTATTCATGGCAAAGTAGATTGATAGTCTGATATCGGCGCGCAAATGCGCCCGCCATTGTCCGTCCTGCTTCCTCTAATGTGGGATGCGCGCGACATCGGACCCCGATTCACGACTCGTCTTCCGCAGGCCCAGTCCTGCCCATCTCACAAAAATGGGATATGAAAGTTACAGTGCTTGCAGAATCGAGATATGTATTTGTTCTGTCTATATCCCCCGTGCCGTGCCTTACCGTATCACTATCTCTCCCCTCATATCAAATTCGTCGGTTCCATGGGACAATTCGGCGCTTCGCAAACGAAAGGCGCCATCCCACCCTACCCGCAACCAAAACCGGCCCCCGGGCCAGGGGATATCGCATCAGGAGGGGAGACTTCGATTTGCTCCTCGGAATCGCATGGCCAATCTTGGCGCAAGGAGAGAGCTGCCCTCGGTATGGTACGGTCTGGTCCAGTTATCAACTCTTTCCCTTCTTCAGCTGCCTTTGCAATGCGCTTTGCGACAAATGCGCCCCGTCACACAATTGAGGACCGCGATGGCCCTTTGTCGCGGGATACCAACTTCACCTCACCCCGTTTCCAAGTTAATAAACCGCCTCAGATAGACCCACGAACCCCGGCCCTCTGTTGATCTTTGGTCTTTCATTGCTGACGTACCTGGATGGCACACCACCACGTGATGCCATGCTCCAACAAAAAAGGGCGCCAAACAACTGCAAGTTCCGGTATGGAAGCCGGATGGTGTGTGTGCCAGTGTTTTTCTTTTGGCGCCAATCCGTCCCCAACCATTGAGGTCGTTCACCTATCGTACCGTAGTACGGATATCTCACCTACCTGAAGAAAAAAAACCTGGCCCAATGTCATCGAGTTCCAAAAAGACGGGCAGAGAGGAGTACCTAGCCCAAAGCACGGTACCTGCTCTACGGCGCAAGAACCACGAACCCGTCTTAGGCGGGTGCTGACTGGCGCCATGATATCCGCGACTAACCAGCGGCGGCAGCTTGTTTGGCGGAGAATGTAGTCTTATTAGGTGAAATGAGAATACGGCCTCCCGACCCCGGGCCCCTTGTCTCTTCACGGAGCCGTCTACTACGAGCTTGCTCCGTCCTGCGATCGCCCCTGGTTAGCTATCCTTTTTATACCTTTGATATGAATACTCATGAACTTCAGATCCAATTGCCATGAGGACCATGTTAGTCAGCAGCAGGTGTTGGGATTGTTCAATGTAAGATGTACAGTAGCAAAACTGCAAGACCTCAGCAAGGGAACTGGGGGGTTTGCGAACCACCTTGTCATTGAGCCAATGGTATTGTCGTTCGGACCAGCTCGAGGCGCCACGAGTCTCGCACAGCAGGGGACCAAGAGGGGACAAGACAAGATAGCGGCCAGAGAAGGATGGTCGGAGCGCGGCTGGCTCATGCACAAGGCAAGGCGGAATGTTGGCTAAGGCGGCTACCAGCATGTGTAGACTCCGGCGCCGGTCTGCTCGGTCTGGACTGGTTTCAACTGTCAACCGACTCATTGGACTATAGAGGGCTCGCTCGGCGCATGTTTTGATATTACGGAGGAGGGGAGCAGAGAGTCCTGCTGCTGACACTGTTTGGTTCATCAATAACCCCCGTCCAGCTGCGTTTCATGGTGTTGTTCGGATGGGTCCCCGTCCAGCAGCATGGGGCGGAGAAAGCAACAACATGTAGGTCTGTCCCAGGTAGACGGCCAAAAGGTTATGTCTATTCAACAGTGGAGGGCAGACATCCCATAGTTCGAGGCCGCTTGCTGTCCGGACCTTTCTACTCTCTTCTGCACAGCATGACTCCAGTGCGCCTTCGCACGGAAGCGGATATGCGCACGAGAATTTTCGCATCTGCGCCTAGGAACAAACCTATCTTAGTCAGTTGGGCCAGGAACCAGACATGATGAAGATGCTCGATCCGCAGGCGACGAGTGAGCTTGATAGATGAGGTGGCTGGGGGTTTTGACTTGTAGCGTGAAGCAAGATTGGTTCAGGCCGTCATGTTACGGTTGTATGCGCTGGTCGGGGGTTTCAAGTGTCATGTCGCTGCCGAATCACCATGGAGGTACGAATAGACAACATGAAAACTAGGCCGAGGAAATGGGCAAGGTCTTGGCCGTCATCCCGAGTTCCCCTCCGCTCGCCTGCTGCGTTTGCTCCAAATGCTCGACGGCTTGGCTTTGAGGAATCTCCACTTCAGGTAGATAGAAAGGTGACACCGACAGCAGTGGCAGCTATCCTTCCCCCTCCTCCTCTCTCGCGCTTTGCGACAGGATGGGATGGCATGGAGGGACCACGGCATGTGTGGATCGCTCGACGCATCCACGCATCTTCTTTCGCCTGCCTCTTGAGAGTATATTTTGTATCTCTTCCTCTGCGGTCCTGCCAGTGAGCGCAGTGCGGAGAAGTATTGATGAACTGGCACTGGATTTTGCAGGCCCCAACAAGTCCCTTTTCGCCAATCGGGGAGTTCAGAAGCCGGCCGCACTCAAAAGAACGGTGTGCGATACCTGGCGAGACTTTTGCGTCCAGGCTCCAGATCTCCTCGCAGGGATGAGCTATCCTTCCCGAACGCAGCTTGTTGCTCTTCGTTTTGCGTTACCTCGCAGGTTGGGGCTCCACTGCCACGTCGAGGTTTGAACTTTGGACTGGTCGGCTTTTGGGAATGGAACAGTCGATGCCTTTTTTTTTTTTTTTTTTTTTGGACCCTGTTCTTGCCCTCTGAATGGAGATTGAGGAGGCGAAGAAGATCAAGACAGCGAATCGACATATTTCTTAGGAATCAGGAGCAGTCGTGATCTGCGTGTCGGCCCAGTCGTTGCGCCCATTCGACCCGATTAGCTCGTGGACTCTATCCCGGTACGATGCGATGCCATGCGATGCCATGCGATGCCATGTTCATCCACAACCGCCACCAGCGCAACACTCAGAAAACAACACAGACCAGCCCAGCCTAACGATATCTGCGACTCGTCTTCGATTGGTTGCTCGACTCCATCTTGTCAATCGCGGGCTTTGCTGCCGGTTGCTGGTTTGGGATACAAACGGGTACCACCGAGCTAGAAATGGAGCTGCGTGTGAGTGTGTGTGTTGCTGGATTCTACCGGGAGGATCGGCGCTTTCCCGCGCATAGTGGCTTCAACGCATTTGGCGGAGAGAAACGATAGAGCGGAGGCAGCATTCAGTCAAATTCTGCGACCCTGGTGCGTCACACTCGACCTACTCTTCTTTTCGCATGGCTGGGTAGCTTTTGCCACGCCACTTCTGCCCCTCTTTCACCGTTCTTCCATGGCAGTCTCTGAGGCCATAACACAAGGACTCGTGAGTCGTGGAGCATTAGATGGAGTGAGCTAGTCGGAATGGATTGCGACTGTGTGTGTGTGTGTGTGCGATTGCGCATATGCGCGCGCCTTCGAATATCGTCAAGGTGGACAAACGTACACACTCGCCCCCCCCCTCCTCTCTTTTTAATCTTTCTCTCCCGTCACTCTTGAGCAGCTGGTGGTCGATGCTGCTCTACTGAGCGCGGCAGTTTGGAAGATAGTGGGAAGAGGCAATGCGACAGCAAAGGGTCTTCCAGTACAGTTGGCGTACCGTGCGCCCGATCTGGCTTTGCACTGCCGATGGGTATCCAGTTTTTGTGCTTGAAGTCTGCGACAGGTTGCAGGGGGCATGTTCGGAGCCGTCGCAAATGTGCTAAGCCCTGGGAGCTTTCGTATTGAGCTAGTTGTTCCCTTTCAAACTGTTACGCAATATCCGCCGATGCTCGACAATCAATGGCGAGTCGCGATGGAATGGCCATGATATCCGTCAGTCAAGCTGAGCTGTGCGGCCCATTCCAAGACATTCCGTCGCAAGTTGAAGAAGGGTGGTGCGGTGCGACTGTAGAGCCGAGCATGAGAAAAGAGTGCGCGTGCGAAAGAGAAATGCGCCGAATCCAGTCAGATGTAATTGCGGCGCTCTCCGTCCAGTCGGCGCCCCGGGCCTCGAGCCTTCGACCTTGTGTCGGGAAAGGAGGTCGTCCCGTCTAGCGCAGCTTGCGTGGCGGGTCATCGATGAGGGGTGAGAAGGAGAAGTTGTGCTCATCATGCAGAAATAATAATTGTCTGCGCACATCCCAGCCGGTCCCTGAAGGCACCCCTCGTTCTCCATCATGCAGCTGGAGAGGCTGACAAGAGACATGGCCCGACGTCCGACGAGCGACGAGTCGCAATTCTGTTCTTGATCAAAACAAACAAAGCAGATGCTTCAGGCGCATCGCGTTGCGCCAATGCGACTGGCCAAAAACGCATGCTCTGCAGGATGGATCTGCCCATGCCGGTCGCAAGTTACTGGGCCAGGCGCGTACGTCCAATTCCATCGCATTTGTCGCCAATTGCGCCAGGTTGAACAGCTTGCGTTGTGGGAGGGGCCTTGCGCAGATCCATGGTGCAAAGGCGCCGGGGTACCTCATGAGAAGGTTTTCATTGATAGGTGAGTCGCAACGCTGACGATGCGGCGCCTTTGGAGGCGAGCTCCGCTACAGAGCGGAACGTGTGACGAATGCACCACGTGACTTCGTGGTCAACTGGTGTTAAGTAGGGGCGCGTTAGGCCGATTATGGCCTACGGGATGGAAATGTAAAAGTTTGGGCCGAAGTGAAGTTTTTAACCTATCAATAGGCTTCATTATTGGCTTTTGCATTTTCTGATAGATTTTGGTAAGGTTTTGTAATTATGTGCTGCTGCTGCTGGACGATGTGTCTCTTTGGACGTCTTCTGGAAGACGCGACGACAAGAGGAGGATCAAAATCATGCTCCTCTTTGGGACTAGCGTTGTCCTTGGACAATTGCGAAAGCATGACGACAGGGGGTTTTGTGATGCCGAAGATTCCCCGCCGTGCGTGCCGTCGGGTCTCTCAATCGACGTCCGGATTTCCGTTTCACACAAAAGCTTTGCCTAGGTTTAGTATCCGTACGTCGCCCTTCTTGTCCGCCACTGGTGCCCTCGGATTCTCGTGCACTTATTAACTAAGTAAATTTACTGAGATGGTGGTAAATGCACGAGAAAGAAACATGGGTTGCTAGCTTCCTCAAGCGAAATATTGGTGAGTCGTCGCAAAGGTGGTATGGTGGAAACACGACGAACGTGATCATCAATCGCAATTTCCAATCCACCACATTCGCGCCTTCGATTCTGCCAATACTTCATCCCTTTTCAAATGTCAACAGCAGGCACGATTCGGGGAAAGCGTGCTAGCCTGAGGCTGAGATATCGATATCAAACGACAACTCGGCTGGCCCATGCTCAGAGCTGATTCGGGAAAGCCGTCGGCCACGACGATGAATTTTGCCAATCAGCCCTGAATGAACGGTAAATGTATTGATTAATATAATTGCCGTGGAAAAGACTGAGGCAAGATCAGTTTGCAACGCATGATGTCTTCCTCAAAGTTATTGACGATGCTCTTCTCCAGGCATTCTGATAACGCTTGCTATTTAGGATTACTTTGGAAATCTCGCGCCTGCTGACTGGGATACCTGGCCGAATAAAGAGAGCTCGTATGTCTCTACTTGCACTGTACCCGATTCGCTCAGCATATGTCTTGGCCATGGCTGTCTGACCTTATCAAGCATCGTCCATTTGCAGACACTTTCGTGGTGCTTTCTGTCTGCCATCAGTTGTGGATCCTTGGAAGTTTCGTTATATAGTAACAAGGCACACGGGAATGAGACGATACCATGCTTCGTACCCGTTGAACGACCCCCAGAGTAACCTCAAAAGACAATGACATTGCAGCAACTACGAAAGATTCTCACTCTCGTATCGAATACATCGCCAAGATATTCGAATCGTCGCAAACGGCAAATGGGAGGACTGGCACTTCATCGGCACCATGGAGCCCGAGCCGGTACGCAGCGGGGGCAGTTAATTGAAACAAGCGATAGAGGCCAAGACTTATGCCTACGTAGAAGATGAATATTCACTTGCTGAGCTCTCCACTGTTCGAATCGCAGGAGACAGCAAGTACACATTTCCCTACATCAAGTCAGACTCATCAACCACCCAATGCCGACCGTATGCAAAAGGTGAGCTTTTTTACGCACTTATGTGCCTAGAAGAGTAGAAACCCCCAATAATCTGAAGCGCCGTCCGTCTGTCAAGCAGGTCTTCTTCTCTCTCACGCAAAGTGCGCTGTTCAACCATGAGATTGTGTACACTAGAAGGCTACTTTGGGCTCCCAACAAGAGATATGGGCCAAAGCCGGCTTTCAAATACTATACGTGACTAGAGTCCGGTCGTACTTGCAGCTTCGTAGAGCCGCTTGATATGGATAGGAAGCCTCCAGAGACTGGATTCACGACCTGATATCGCATTGAGAGTGCTGAGGGAAAAGGCACAAGAAAGGTCCGAATGGTCTGATGCGAGCCTAACAACAGTTACGGGCATGGGACTTCGACGTAGCTTGGAACTAAGCCAGGTTACTGAGTAAAGAAAGAGAGCAGCAGGAACGTATTTAGGAAATCCGGACGGGACAAAGACCACCGTTACAGTTGATACAACGCACTAGAAGTCGAAGGACCATGTTTGCCACAATCGGTGCCGTGGCGAGGGCTAATATCACAGCTCGGAGTACGATGGGTTTCGGCTTCGTGGCGTCGCTTCTTCTGGACAAGCTGAATGGTAGAGCTGAAAGACGGGAGGAGAGAACAACGACGGGCGAGGCTTGGCTCGTCAGGAACCGATCAACGACTTCGAGCCTCGAGGCGATACGTTTCGTATGCCCCTTTGTTCTGGGCCGCTATGGCGTTCTTTCCACGAGTCGCCCAACGTTCTGGAGGTCAACGTGGGCCGGCTGCCTTGTGTTGTCGAGCGGGAGCCAAGCTAATGGCAAACGTTCCGGGTTTCAGTAGCACAATGGACAAAGAACATCTTGTGAGAAGCCGTTGATAAAGGGACCGTCGAGCGAGAAAAGGGGGAGAGGTTATCGGAACGGGTGACGAACGGCGTCATGTTGTAAAAGTCTGGTCTGGGAGGATAGTCAGATACTATTTTGGCGCAAACAATACGGATACACAAGTCGAATAATAACAACGACGGTTGTCTAGGACTGGGTAGTACTGTATGTGGTCTGGGTGAAACGATGACAGAAGACTCGTGCCTTGCTTTCGCAACGCATTGCTCAAGCATAGTTCCCCGGATCTGCTCATGCGCATTGTTGCGCAGAGACATGGGCTGGCCAACAAAACATGGAATCGGAGACAGGGTCATTGGAGGGAAGCACAACTGCACACACGAACTGACGAAGTGACGAGCGCAATTGGCCCCGCGGCGATGATGCCAGGACCCACTCATCGACCGGCCAACGTTAGGGCTCCATCACTATTAGCCAATAAGGTGGCGCGCTGGTACCGCGTCTCCGGTGCGTACCTCGGATTTCTCACCTGTATTGACAAACACGGAAGTAAACAACCCAAAAAGTCCACTTCACATTCTGGTCGCTCCAACCTAACCAGGCCGTTTTTGGTCATAAGCCGCCCGCCGTGGCAGTTACCCATCGTGCAGCTTTTTGGCTGAGACCTTTTTTTCTTCCCATCCATCAAGAGTTGTTTCCAAACTCTTCATCCCGTCCCCATCCTTCCTCCACTCTGGTCGTTGTCGAGGCAGCCTGGCTCTGCCATCCCGCAGAGATAAACCGACCTTTCCCTTCTTTTAATATCCCTACCGGTCGCAATCTCCCGTCCTTCGTCCATCCCTTCACTCCGACCAACCGTGCCCGAATCTGATCGGCAGCAATTGGGGACCACGACTTTCCACAACACGCCCAACCGAGTCACTGTGGTGTTTACATGCTATCCTACGCGCCATTATTCTCAGTACCACGATAATCACATCAACATCCACTGCGCGCCTTCATAATTCTTCCCTGCCGCACAAAGGTGCCCTCCCGAGCAGATTCAACAAACAGCACTAGCTATCTGCAAGAGCAGCAGTCGCGATGGACGCTAGAGTAAGTCACTATCCTCCCTCATAACGACCACGCCCGAGTACCTACCCCAAAGGACCAAGCAAGGGCGAATTTCTCGAACTATCGACTGACTTGACTCAAACAGCCTCAGCGCCTCCGAGTCCACCCAGGTGGCAACGAAAACATCATCCCTTCGAAACACGAGGCTCTTCATCAGCGACACAAGTCTACCAGTAACCTGCAAGCCATGCCTCGCAACGGTGCTCTGCAGGTTGCTGCTAAGCGAACCGCATTCGGCGACGTGAGCAACACGGTGAAGAACCTGATCTCGCTTCCTAGCGACCAGATTCCGGGCAAGGGCAAGGCTGTGGATTTCGTCTACAACAAGGAGAACGCGGTCAATGGCAAAGATGGATTTTCCAAGGCCGCTCAGCGGACTACAGCCCTCAGCAACAAGAACGGCCCTGTTACTGCGGAGTGGAAACAGCCCAAGACTCAGAACAAGCAGGTTGCCAAGAGATCTTCCGCTGCTCAGCTTTACGAGACACGCCCATCTAAGAGCAAGTTCGTTGCTCAGGACCCCATTGCTGAGTCGGCCTCCGGCAAGCAGCCTCGTCACCACAAGTCTCAGCCTCAGCTTAAGAAGGAGCCTGCTGCGCATGTCTTGCGACGGACACAAAGCAAGTTGACCGCAGCCCCTACACACCCTGTCCCTGCTGTTGCAGCCTGGAAGCCTATGGATGATGTGACGGAAGCCACCTACGAGGATGCTGTCGAGCACATTGGCGATGAACAGTACCATGGCCCGTACCACAGACGCTCGCTGGACGTTACCGACAACGACCTTCCCGAAGACCTTGTATCATCGAATGCGGCTGTCGACAAGCTTAGCTCCCTGGAGCCTCTTTCCGGATCGCTGGGTGTCCCGAACATGTCGGAGGCGGAGGAGTACTGGGACGAGGATGACGAAGAAGAGCTCTACGACGACCAGGGCTACACGACTGCCCACTCTTACCGTTCCCGCGGCGACCTCACCACGGGCGGCGCAACCACTATACTCGCTCCTAAGATTACCGACAAGGTCGAGCAAGAGTTGGAGACCGCCCGGGCCATCGTCGAGAGTACCCGTACCCAGGAGGAGGTTGACGACGAGATTTGGGATGTCTGCATGGTTGCAGAGTATGGAGACGACATCTTTGAGTACATGAGGGAGCTCGAGGTTTGTGTGCCCCGTCCCGTCAGCCTACATCCAGGCATCTGCTAACCTGTATGCTTCCAGATGAGAATGTTGCCTGACCCTCACTACATGGACAACCAGGCCGAGATTCAATGGTCCATGCGCTCTGTCCTGATGGACTGGCTCGTTCAGGTCCACCACCGATTCAGCTTGCTGCCAGAGACGCTGTTCCTGACCGTCAACTACATTGATCGCTTCCTCTCGTACAAGGTTGTGTCGATCGGCAAGCTTCAGCTCGTTGGTGCAACTGCATTACTCGTTGCCTCCAAGTACGAGGAGATCAACTGCCCGTCGCTGCAGGAGATCGTCTTCATGGTAGACAACGGCTACAAGGTCGACGAGATCCTCAAGGCTGAGCGTTTCATGCTTAGCATGTTGAGCTTCGAGCTTGGCTTCCCTGGTCCGATGAGCTTCCTGCGTCGCGTTAGCAAGGCGGATGATTACGACCTCGAGACGCGCACATTGGCCAAGTACTTCCTGGAGGTGACCATCATGGACGAGCGCTTCGTTGCGAGCCCTCCCAGCTTCCTTGCTGCGGCGGCGCACTGCTTGTCTCGCTTGATCCTGAAGAAGGGTGACTGGGTATGTCTGCTCCAATACTCCAACACTTTTGTTTTGCCAAGCCACTAACATTGAGAAAGACTCCTGCGCATGTCCACTATTCTGGATACACCTGGGGCCAGCTCAAGAACCTGGTTACCATGATCCTCGAGTGCTGCTACACCCCGCGCAAGCACCACCTTGCGGTCTTTGAGAAGTACTCTGATAAGCGATACAAGCGCGCTGCCGAGTACGTTGAGACGGAGGTTGCGAAGGGCTTCACCCTGCCGGCGGTTCGCCAGTCCACAGGTCGCGCGGCGGCTTACGACTTTGTCGAGATGGACGGCAATGCTGGCCAGCCCCATCATGGCAAAGCGATGGTCGAGCTCCAGAGCTAGTGGGACAATTGTGCTCGACCACCGATGACGCATCATGTGAGGGACTTCCCTATGCGCCCGCGGGGCACTTGGCTTGATGCAACGACCTTTTTCTTCTCCTAGCGACATTCGACGACGCAATGTTGGTTGCGACTGAGGCGGCTATCATAATACCACGATTGCGAGCACGGCTGGACAAGAGGTCCGGCTTGAGACGCAACGACTGATGCACCGCCGGCAACTCTTTTTACACAATGTTTAGACCGCCCACGCGGTCTGTTGATGACACTGGACGACTTGACGATACCATGACTAGGTTCTTAGCCTTTCACTACTTTTCGGTTGGCCCTAGTCGATTTTGTTTTTTCTTTACTACGCGGCCAGGTTGTTTTGGCGTTGGAGGAAGGATCCTCTAGAGGGCAAGGCAAACAAACCTTGCAGACGGCGGGCGTGGCTTCTCCAGGAGCAACATACCAGAACCGAAACCAAAAGCAAGTGCGATACGTGGAGGTGTGGCATAGATGAACAGGCACCAGCTATGATAACTGCCTGGGGGGGGGGGGATTCAGGACAAGGCAATAACTTGTGTATGACTTATAATTCTTTGGCAAAGGGGTGGGATTTGCATTTTCTATGTACTGTTACAGTTCAGCTAGAGGATCAGCTGGAAGTGGCCACAATGGATGGCGGCGTCACGGTAGTTGGGTCAGTAAGAGGCAATGAATATCTTGACAGTACTGTTGGTTCCTTGACTGTTGGCTATATGCATCGCACTTCTGTCGTAAGTCACAGGTTATCAGCAACCTACTTGCAAAGCTATTTCAGCCGCGCGTTGGAACCAAGGTATCAATGGACCTTTTGATGTATAGCTCCCTTCCCTGGTATCCGTACCTTGAGCTCGTTGAGCTGTCTGGCGGATGGAAGCTTGAGGTGCCCCACTCGCTTAGAAGCTGGTGGCTGGTTCTCCATGTGGCACTTGCACCATGGGGTAGCTCTGCAGTGCGCCAGGCACTTTATTGGCCGACAGCTCCATTGACGAGACCGCGGCCGTGGTGCGAGGTCCCTTTTTCTCTCCAAGGCAGTGGGTCAACTTGCTGTGAGGCCACCTTGCTGTTGTCGCCTCCCGAGTCCTGGTCAGCTTCCATCCAGTCTTCCGTTGCCTCTCTTGCCTATTACTGAATCACCCACTTCACGCACACTTTTATTTCCCGCCCGTCCAAACCTGACACCTCAGCGCAAAGACGCACGCGATCTGAGTTGGATTGGGTTTGCCCCAGCCCCCCCTTCCATCTGTCTCCATCTCCATCTTCCGTCTACCACGTCCCATCTCCCTCTTTATCTCCTACCTCCTTTCCCTTCCTCCCCCACTCCAGTCAACTTTCCATTGCCTGCGATCGTTGAACTGGTCACGTCGCATCCAATTGCTTGTCCTCGTCGCCGCTACAATGGTTTATCTCAAGTCCTCGCTCCTGGCCCTTTTGGCCCTGCCCATCGCCGGCGTCTTCGCTGCCGAGGAGGCCCCTGTACGTAATATCCACGACATCTCGAGCTCCCCTGACAGCCGTTCCTAACCATCACCAGGTCGATACCGATGCTGTTCCCCCGACTCTCAAGGCTGACATCGAGACCACCTTCCCCGATGCCGATATCTTTGGTGTGAAGATCGTCAACGGCCACCCCACCAAGGCCTTGATCGAGTTCACCAACAATGAGGATGCGCCGATTCAGGTCGCCATGGTTGGCGGTACCCTGTCTTCCACTCAGGAGCTCCCCGAGAACTCCCTCCCCAGTGACAGCATCATCCGCAACCTGACTGCTGCGCGCTACGATCTGACCATCGAGGCTGGCGACAAGAAGGCTGTTCCCTACTCCTTCGCTCTCGATGCCAACCCCCAGGATGTTCTCCTCCAGCTTATTGCTGTCGTGAGCAACTCCAAGGGCGACATCTTCCAGGTCCAGGCTTACAACTCCACCGCCGCCATCGTTGAGCCTCCCACCAGCATCTTCGATCCCCAGATGTGAGTTCTACAACCAATGCGCCGCCATTGAGGCATGACAACAACCGCTGACAACTTCTGTAGCATCTTCCTCTACCTCTTCCTGTCTGGTGCCTTCGCTGGTACTCTGTACTTTGTCTACAAGACCTGGATCGAGGCCCTGTTCCCCCAGGCCAAGAAGGCCAAGTCCTCCAAGAAGGCGCGCACTGTTAGTGTCACCGTGCCTCTGGCTGAGGCCGACACCACTGGCGTTGCCTCCTCGACCGGTAAGAGCTACGACGAGAGCTGGATCCCCGACCACCACATCAACCGCCCTGTCGCCAAGCGCGTCAAGAGCGGTGCCAGCGGCAAGCTCAAGAAGGGCGAGTAGGGACGTAGCACCTCTACGAAGCGAGCCGCTTAAAGATGTGGATTTGCTGGATAAAAAGGCATCCATGCGATCACAGATTGGCAACCCTAAAGAACCCAACAAGCTGAAAACGAGCTGATAGGATGTTCACATTGAGTTGATGTTGGAGAAGCAGAAACAAAAGTATTGTACAATAGCTGCATACAAGGCAAGAAGCCCATGTTGGCGACTCCCGTAGGAAATACTGGAACTTTGTTATCGCCTTGAAGATGAGCTTTGAACAATGTGTCACCGACAATGCTTTAAATGTCTCTTGGTCGTTAATACTGGCCTAAACCCGACGTTTTTTTGTCCAATGCGACAACAAGGGAAGAATAGGCTGCCGAGAGCTTGGTGAGAGCCGTTGTACTTCCACTAGGCTTTGTGAGAGCATTCGTCTACAAGCTCGCTGTCTCTCAAGTCTCAGCACATACATGCGACTCTCAATCACTTGAACAAGGAAAAGCAAGTCTACCTCCGTTGATCTGACCTGAGACGCATCCAATTGAGGTTTCAGGGGCCTGATCTTACCTTGATTCGGTCAGAACTCTGATTAATTGAGCCACAGCAGGGACTGAAGTTTTTTTTTGTCATTTCAACCAGTGGAAAACACACAATTTGACTTGTATTCTTTACACAAGTAAATGCAACGGCTTTAGAGAGTCTGGACCATTTCCATATTATCTCATTAAATCCAGATGCATCTCCAAGGTTCTTGGTGCAAGAGCTTCTGAAGTTGGGTTCCTGGAAGGTAGCTACCCCAGAAGCGGGTACCTACCTTTGATGCTCAACGAACCTTAAGGTAGGTCGTAGCTTCCCCATGCGCGCGAGAGTGACGCGCAAACGCGCTTTCCACCCACCAGGGTCGCTTCCGCGCTACGAACATTGGACCTTAACTGCACATTTGGCACCGAGACGTTTTCCGCTCTCTTCTCTTTCACATCTCACTCACTCACTCCAAAGATTTTCTCTCCCCATACTCGCGAACCTCGTTTCTCTTCGACCGTTGCGGAGAAGAATTGTACGATAATTAGAGGGGCTGTTTACGACATTTGATTTCTTGCGGGTTTTTATCACACATTTTCTCTTCGCAAATAACTTTCGTTCGACACACAATCTACAATGGCGCCAACTGTTGAGGAACCCGTGAAGCGCGGCCGCGGCAGACCTCCTAAAGCCGATGGCCAGAAGAAGACGCCCTACGTCCCCACGGGACGTCCTCGTGGACGGCCAAAAGGCAGTGGAGGCGTGAAGAAGGCGGTCGCACCCGCTGCCACGACCGGCACCAAGACACGCGGTAGACCCAAGAAGGCCGACGACGCGACCGCGGCTACCCCCAAGAAGTCTGCCACGCCCAAGAAAGCGACACCAAAGTCCGCCGGCGCTGCTGGTCGCCGTGGTCGTCCTCGCAAATCTGACGCTGCCACGCCCAAGGCTGAGTCTGCCAAGAAGGGCAAGGCTGCCAAAGAGGAGTCTCCGGCCGACTCCGACTCGGAGGACGGAGAGGAAGGTTAGCTCAAGTCCTCGTTCCTTTCGGCTCGCGTACGAGTATGAACGTCGACTCACTAATACGTGAAGCACAGGAAACTAAGGAAGACGCCGCGATGAAGTCGCCCTCCGACGCCGCGGACTCTGCCGAAGAGGTGCGTCCCTGGCTGCCATCGAGAATGATACGAGGAATATTCGGCTGACCGAGAAATCTTTATCCACAGTAATACAACGGACGAAAGGGGAAGACCTTTTACTACATTTTGCACGGGATCTTGGGGTTTTTTCGTCTGGCGGACACTGGGAAAAACACAATAGGGCGTTGGGGTATGGCTTCCAATTTGTTTAGTGGGCTGGGTGTTGATGACGGGACGGTCCTGGTCCTCTCCCGTCTGCAGACCGCGCGTCACGCGAGACTTTGACCGTTACTGAGATACCGTGCTTCTTGCTGAATACGAGGCTATTTTGTCTCCACCCTTCCTTCGATGGTTGTTCTTGTGAAGGCGCAATCCTCTGTGTTTTGGGCCGAGGTCGTGCTGCTCCGCGCTTTGCTTTTCCACACTTGGCCCCCTTTTCGCGCCACGGTGTATCGCAGTTGTGGTCTAGCTGTCTTTATTCCTTTTTCCACTCGACGAATTCTTCCGAGAGATGCTCCTTCAGCTTCGCAAAGTGGTTCTTGAAGCTATCACCGCACCTCCAACAAACAAGATCTCTTTTCATGAGGTAGCCCTCGTGGCCAGGATGACGCCTGGGATCATCCGGGGCCAGTGGGAAATCGGCGACGTCGACCAGAAAAGGGGTATTGAAGGAGTTATAGTGCTTGCGATGCTTCAAGCATACGGAATACATGTCTCGCGAAAGCACGTGGACGTGAAGGTGATTCATGCTCGGATGCGCGTGTATGCCAGTGATGATCTCGGCGTGCCAATTTCGACCTTCGGGAAGCTCGGTGCCTGTCGGCTCTGCGCGTCCGTCGAGCACGGCTTCTCGCTCTGCCTCGGCCTTGCTTTCCTTTGCGAACCGCCGCTGTAGCTCTTTAGCTACGAGATCCTTCAGCTTTAAGGTCTCCTTTTGTACCGTAGCCAGGAACTCGGGGTCGTCGAAGGCTTCGAAGGGGTGGAGGAGGCTGTGCTTGGAGGATCGAGGGAGCAGCAGCGTGTGGACGCTGGCCTTTGGGTAGAGGTCGTTGATGGCGACGAAATCGTCGTTGTGGTAGATCACCCGCGAGGCTGGGAAGGTAGATGGGTCTTCGATGTATGCGCCGAGGCCATCGCGGCTTCTATGAGGGGGCTTATTGCGAGAAGAAGGCTTAGGGGGTTCTGAGGTCGGTTCGGGCTTGCGCTTTCGTGTCATGAGCTCTGCGACTTGGGCGCGCAAAAGTCAGAATGAACGCGATGTTTTTGAGGATGTCTGAGTAAGGTGGCTTACAGGCATTTCGCGGTTGTTGGGGTGTAGCGGCGGTTCCTTGGATCTCATCCTGGGTGATGGCGTCTTCGGGATCCGAGTCTTTGCCCGCCATGTCTGCCTCGATGATGGAAAGAGCTGGGCGTGGGGGAGGCTTTGCGTGTCGCCCAAGATGTGCCCGTATTCAATGAGCCATCCTTTACTTAAGGTCACAATGGTAACAAGGGCTCCGTAGCTTGACAGTTGTGACTTGCGCCCTCGTTGCGACCAATCGCTGTCTAGGCACGACGGCGAATGTGAATGTGCATCAGGCAGATTGGAGATCCGGCTGGACCCTTCAAAGGAGTTCCGATTCAAGGTCGCCCGTAATCGAGGTACCCACAGCGGGGGAGCTGCAGGAAGAGCCGTGCCCCTCCATCCAGTGCCAGCCCAGCCGCCAGGACGCGACGTCAAGGTCGCTGAGTGGCCACTGCAAACCGCCTCTGCAACCGCTAACGGCAGGTGGCTTTCTGCAACTGGGCTCCAACAACCACCCAGCCAGCGCTGGGGAATCCACGGGCAAATAAAATTTCCCAGTGCTTTCAGTGACATCGCAACGAGCTCATTCGACGACGCCCTAATCCAGTTGATCTGGCTCACGATCAAACCCACCGCTTTCTCATATTCTCCGCCAACAGAATCTTCCATGGCCCAGTATTGCCCATAGACAACATCTCGATACGCCGCCAAACCATGGCACCGCCCAAGAAAGGCAAAGGGAAGGACAAGGCCGCCGCGCCAGCCCCGGCGGCGCAAGCAGCCGCATCGTCGTCCAAAGATGGCCCCAAAGGCAAGAAGACTGCAGGTTTATCGCTCATGGAGCAGGCCGCCGGTCCAGCTGCCAACAAGCCCACCGTCAAACAGATCATCGGCGGGTCGTCGTGGACCGGAAAGCTGCCGCAGAACCTCTTTAATGAGTACTGCCAGAAGCAGCAGTGGGAGAAGCCAGTCTACGACATGCGCAAGACGCCCGAGGGATATGCCTGCTTCATCACCCTCAGCGCGAAGGACCCCAAGACGAAGGAGCTCATGACCCTGGACTCATTCAAAATTGCGCCGGATTTCAAGCACCTGCTCACCAGGCCGACTGCCCTGGAGGCGAGACATGCCGCCGCAACGTACGCCCTCTTTAGGGTATGCAGCATGCAGAATAAGCATATGGTGCTGCCGCCAGACTACAAGTCCATGTGGAAAGACTTCCAGGAAATCAAGAAGCAGGACGTGAAGGACGGCAAGGCGTGGATGTACGACGCGGACCCGTTCAAGACTCTCATGGAGAGGAAGGACACCAAGGCTGCGGCGGAGAAGAAACGCAAGGAGGCGGAGGCGGCCAAGGAGAAGGCAAAGTCGATGCCCGGCGCATCTGGGTTAGCCGGCGCAAACGCTATGAAGGGCTGGGTGACGGCGCCAAAGATTGAGATGGGCAAGCGCTCGCGAACCCAGGTCGAGGCGCTTATTCAAAAGTATGTTGTTTGGAACCCAAACAAGATTCAAATACCAGCGGCGCAGAAGAAGGCGATTGTCGAGGAGCTCAGCAAGCTGGGCTTCCGACGGAGTCACGTCGAGGAAGCCACGGAGATCTGCAAGGATCGTGAGGAGACACTTGAGTGGTTGTTGATTCACGTGCCCGAGGACGATCTGCCGAGGTGGGCACTGCCGGAAAGCTATGCGGCGGGTATCTCGGTCGCATCCATGGACCTTAAAAAGGAGGCCGTTATCAAGCGTCTCTCGGAATCCGGTTACGCCCTCGACCTATGCGCCCGCGTGCTTGAAGAGGCTGGTGGCAGCGAAGGCCGGGCGGCCGAACTCCTTCAGCTCCGCCTCTTGGGACAAGTGTCGGGAGACGAGTCGCGGTCGACCGCGGAAGATCTTCTTCCCCCGGGTGTTTCGGCGGATGAGCTCTGGGACGACGAAGTTTCTGCGATGGAGTCTTCCTTCGGTGATCTGTTCAAGAAGACCTCAGCGGACATTATCCAAGTAAAGCTTGAAAAGGTCAAGAACGCAGGGAAGCCGGTAGAGGCGGCCGTTCAGGTTCGCAAGACGCCGAATTACCCTGCTCAGCTCAACTTTGCCGTCGTGGCACCTCTTCCGGCACAGATCAAGCTGTCGATTATCAAGCAGACGATTGGGTATCTGGACGACTCTTACTGGGAGGAGCCTATGAAGGTCTTTGTTGCCATTGACTGGATCCAGCAAAATATCAACGACATCATTGAACGGCCAGGAAAACTGTCGGACATTTCAGCGGTAGCTTCAACGGCGTCCGAGATACCCAACGAAGCCCGGTCGCAAAGAGCCTCGAACAAATCCCAGAGAGCTCCTAAGCCGATCTCGTGGACACCTGACGAGCGATCAAGAGACGACTGGCTGAGAAGAACGGAGGATCCGGCGTGGGAGAAGATGATGTCGAAGCGTCAAAAGTTACCTGCGTGGCAGGTTCGTGACAAGATTGTCCAGACCGTCGAACATAACCACGTCACCATCATCAGTGGTGAGACTGGTTCCGGAAAGTCAACGCAGTCGATGCAGTTCATTCTGGACGACCTGTACAACAGAGGCCTGGGCAAGTGTGTCAACATGCTTGTGACACAGCCCAGGAGAATCTCCGCGCTTGGTTTGGCCGACCGTGTCGCTGAGGAGCGATGTAGCAGAGTTGGTGACGAAATCGGTTACGCCATCCGTGGCGAGAATCGTAGAAGCAACAACACAAAGATCATATTCGTGACGACTGGTGTGCTACTGCGGAGGCTGCAGACTTCTGGTGGGAAGATTGAGGATGTGGCGGCGTCGCTTGCAGATGTCAGTCACATCGTCATTGATGAAGTTCACGAACGCAGTCTGGATACAGACTTCCTCCTCACGATTGTCAGAGAGGTCATGAAGACGAGGAGGAACCTTCTGAAGTTGGTGCTCATGAGTGCTACGCTTGATGCTGCATCCTTCAACTACTACTTCACCTCGCAAGGCTTGGATGTTGGCATGGTGGAGATTGCTGGAAGAACGTACCCCGTCGACGATTTCTACCTTGACGACATCATCAACATGACGGGTTTCAGGGGTGACATGATTGATGGAGACGGCGGACGAGGCGATGCTATGGGCAAGGTGATTCAAAAACTGGGCCATCGCATCAACTACGACCTTTTGGCAGAGACTGTCCGGGAAATTGACGCAGATCTCTCTCATACGGGCAAGTCGGGCGGAATCCTCATCTTCTTACCCGGAGTGGCAGAGATCAACAGGGCATGTGGTGTTCTGCGGTCTTTCTCCTCGCTACATGTTCTACCTCTCCATGCCTCGTTAGAGACCAAAGAGCAGAAACGTGTCTTCACCAGTCCTCCACATGGCAAGAGGAAGATTGTGGTTGCCACCAACGTGGCGGAGACTTCAATCACGATTGACGATATCGTCGCCGTTATCGACAGCGGCAAGGTGAAGGAGACTACATACGACCCTGTGAACAACATGAGGAAGTTGGAGGAAAACTGGGCTTCTCGAGCGGCGTGCAAGCAACGGCGTGGTCGCGCCGGCAGAGTCCAAGCCGGCAAGTGCTACAAGCTGTACACCAAAAATCTCGAACAACAGATGGCTGAACGGCCGGACCCGGAGATCAGAAGAGTGCCGCTAGAGCAGATGTGTCTGTCCGTACGAGCCATGGGTATGAGAAATGTGGCCGGGTTCCTCTCCCAGTCGCCTACGCCGCCCGATAGCACAGCAGTCGATGGCGCAATCAAGCTCCTGCGCAGAATGGGTGCGTTGGATGGAGACGAGATGACCGCACTGGGTCAGCAACTAGCCATGATTCCCGCCGACTTACGATGCGCAAAGCTCATGGTGTACGGTGCCATCTTTGGCTGCTTGGACGACTCGGTCACCATTGCCGCCATTCTCAGCACCCGCAGTCCCTTCATGTCACCTCCGGACAAGCGCGATCAGGCAAAGGACGCGCGCATGAAGTTCTCCAACGGGGACGGCGACCTGCTCACCGATCTCGAGGCTTTCAAGCAGTGGGACGAGATGCGCGGCGATGGGGTGGGACAACGGCAGCTTCGCAACTTTTGCGACGATAACTTCCTCTCGTGGCTTACGCTCAACGACATATCGGCGACGCGCATGCAGTACTATTCGGCCCTCGCGGAAATCGGTATCGTCGAGACGAGCAAATCCGCCGCTACTCAGGGACAGAGCAAATCCGGCGGCATGACTCTTTTACGTGCGATCACGGCTTCGGCGTTCAACCCGCAGATTGCGCGGATCCAGTACCCCGATAAGAAGTTCACCAGCACGGTTTCCGGTGCAAAGGAGTTGGATCCGGAGGCAAGGCTGATCAAGTACTTTGCTCAGGAGCAGGGCAGAGTGTTTGTGCATCCCAGCAGTACGCTCTTTGGCAGCCAGGGGTTCACGGGTAACGCTTCGTTCATGTCGTACTTCACGATGATTTCCACCAGCAAGACATTCATTCGAGATCTTACACGTAAGTTTTAGTTCGTTTCGTTGGCAGTCAAGACTACCATGCTAACTTTCTACCCAGCTTTCAACGCCTACACTTTGCTATTGTTCTCCGGTGCTATCAATCTAGATACGCTGGGACGAGGACTGGTTGTCGACGAATGGGTACGCCTTCGGGGCTGGGCGCTGTTGGGAGTCTTGGTGTCGAGACTTCGGGGTATGGTCGATGACGTGATTGCGATGAAAATTGAGAACCCTGGGTTGGATCTCACAAATAATGAGGTGATAAAGCTGGTTACGAAGCTGATAGAGCTGGACGGACTAGACGCATGATAGAATGGGTGGTACTTTTTGTGGGTTACCTATGCTGGCGCAATATCGAGGACAAAAAATAGAGTGAAGCAACGCAACACACGTCATAAGAGTCCCACATATCTGCTCTGAGTAAGGTATTCAAGCACAGCCGACGTGGATAGAATGTGAACGCATATAGTCGATCCGGCCGAAGCAAGGCCGCATACAATGGCTGGCCGCGTAGTGTCATTACTCGGGTTTTCCGTTCTATCGTAAGTGAACCCCGTCTTGAAAAGTCTTCATTTGCCGTGATGAGACAAGGTAATTGTCTGGAATACGGTGGATTACGAACGTCTCGGGTTCGGTCTGGTCTGAAACTGGGAGATTTCTGCTGCAACCCCACTTCCGGGTGGTTCAATATAGGTGAAGGGAGGTACTTAGTCATTCAACAGTTTTTGCCATCGCGGACGTTTACATTGAGAGGCTCATGAGTCTCGTTTCAAGGAGGACCAGTCTGCGAAATGGATCACTCCGAGGAAGATATGGCTGTCAAAGGGCATTAAATCTACAAGTGGGATGTGGATAAGTAACGGGTAGTGGAGCGTGGCTTCGTATGCCCTGGAATGGCCAGGTGCATAGAGTTTCGCGGCGATCGGCGGCCGGGGGCTGCGGGGCCGGGGGTGGGACGCGGGGTAGGTAGCTAGCTCGGCACGCGGGCACGCAGGTCACAGGTGCAACGACCTCGAGGTGGTGGTGCCTGCCCCCCCAAATCTGCAACGGACTCTGTTCGTGGGCAAAAACCATAGCTCGTGCGTCGATCCCTTTCAACAGGGCCCCCGTCCCTTACAGCCTCCGGACTTTTCAACCTGCACAACGACCTCCGATCTATAACCTTTCCCCGAGAATTTCTGCTCCGGATGGCCTCGACCTATTGAATGTACAACTAAATTCGTCGACCTTGTTTCCCCTTGTGTCGATTGTAACGCTCGTCGTGTTCCAGCTGAGCCGAAGCAATGAAGTCCACGATACCGCCCGCGAAATGGGCCGCCCTCGTCTCGATGCTGGCGCCGCGCGTGGTCCTGGCGGCGCTGCAGCCTCCGTTTATCGATCCGAATAGTCTCCCCGACACGCCGGTCTTTAGGGGGCCTTGGGAGAGATACATAAAAGCACCAACAGACAAAACTCATATCATTCCCCATCGCATATGGAATGTAGAGGGGAACATCACGACGTCGGGGCTCGAGGCCGTGGAGGTCGGCGTCGAAGCGGGACGGACGTTCCAACACGGCATCACAATCGGCCCTGGCGGGATGTTGACGCTGGAGTTTGAGGAGAACATTGCTGGACGGTTCGTTCCCGGGCCCTGTTCCCCGTGGAGCGCATCTCCCTTGCTAACCAGTGGCTGCTTGATAGTGTATGCTTCGATGTATCGTCTACTGGAAACGACCCCGAGATCTCCCTGGCGTATTCCGAGTCCTCATTGTATGCCGGACCGCAGCCGGACACCACGACAGAGAAGCTAGACCGAGACCTGCCGCTACACTTCGAGTTTGACGACAAGACCGGCACGGTCTGCGTGGGGAAGGACTTTATACGGGGTGGCTTCAAGTACCTCACGTTGACGATGCCGGAGTACCCTGTCCTCAAAGACGATAATTCCGTTGAAATACCGCGGCCCAAGGGGCAGGCAGTATTGGGAGAAGACGAGGAACAAGCGTCACTCGAAGGAGCCGTCGACAGAGACCCGTACAAGAAGCCTTGGGTCACGCTCAAAGGCCTCTGGGTAAACTGCACCGCCTTTCCTTCGCAGTCCAACGGTCGTGCGTATTCGGGCTACTTCCACAGCTCAAGCGACATGCTTAATCGCATCTGGTACGCCGGCGCATACACTCTCCAACTCTCGACCATCGACCCTCGAGAAGGTTCGGCCATCATCGACTACAACCGCGACTGGGACCACAACGAGTCGCCGACAGGTTCTTGGTACTCCAACTTCACAATCGCAAACGGCACGGCCGTCACGACCGATGGCGCAAAGCGTGATCGCGTTGTCTGGCCCGGCGACATGTTCATTGCGGTGCCCGGTATTGCCGTCAGCACATATGACATGGTAGCTGTCCGCAATGCCCTCAACGTACTGTTCGACCATCAATACGCAGACGGATCGTTACCATGGGCCGGTCCACCGTTGGGCCTTCACGGCGAATTCAGTGATACATACCACCTACACACTCTACTAGGCGCCTACAACTACGTCAAGTACTCTGGCGACCTGGATTGGCTAGCAGAACGCTGGCCGGACTACGTAAAGGCTCTCAACGTCAGCATCGACAAGGTGGACCACACCGGCCTCCTCCATGTCACCAGCGCCGCAGACTGGCTGCGCCCAGGGATGACCGGCCACAACCTAGAAGCCAGCGCCATCCTCAGCGCCGCCTTGGAAAAGAGCATCAAACTAGCAGAGTGGCTTCACGACGATAGCCCGGCGGCGCGCCCGCGAGGGGTCTGGTCAGGCGTGCGCCGCGCCCTCAATGCCGGCATCCAGCAACTCTACTGTGGTGATACCGGCCTCTACTCGGACAACATTGGTCGACGCGGCTGTCGCGGCCCCGAGCACACTGACCCCCAAGATGGCAACAGCTGGGCTCTCATTTCCGGTGCTACGCCGCGTTCCCGACGTGCCGTCGTCTCGGAGAAGCTACGATCCCGCTGGGGTAAATACGGCGCGCCAGCAGTCGAATTTCCCAATGTCATCTCACCCTTTGTCTCCTCCTTTGAGCTCCTCGCCCACGCTGCGGCCGACGAGCACGACTCCGCCGTCGAGCTGATGCTCCTCGAGTGGTCCTACCTCCTCGATGGGCCGGGCTTCACAAACAGCACGCTGGCTGAGGGGTTCATGGTCGACGGCGGCTTAAAGTACCCAGCCTACAGGTCCGCAGCCCGTAACTCCCACTGTCACGGCTGGTCCTCGGGCCCCACGAGCGCCCTCACCTCGGATATTTTGGGGATCGAGCTCCTCGCCCCTGCCGGCGCAGAGTGGACCGTTCGCCCGCACCTGACAAAGTGGCTCAGCTTCGCTAGGGGAGGGTTCGCGACGGCCAAGGGCGTTTTCGAAGTCAAGCTTACCCGTGTTGTCACATCGACTTCGTCCGCGGCAACGAACCAACAGAAGCGGAGGAGGGGCCAGATCGTTGAGATTTCCGCCCCGGGGCTCACCAGCGGGACGTTCGAGTGGGGTTCTTCCTCGCTCAAGGTTGACGTGGAGGGCGGCAAGACGATGGCCTGGATCGCGTGGGAAGACGATGGGTCTGGCGTCGTCGTGGAGCAGCTTGACGTGGCGCTGGGCAGGATCGAGGCATCTAGTGAGGAGGAGTGGCACCGCCAGAGCTTCATCTATCGCGACGATGTCCGGTTGGTTTTTGACGAGTCATGGACGCCGCCGCGGATGATCGAGAGGAAGGCCGGGGTGGTTGACCGGGATGCGCTGGAAGCAAACTACGTCAAGTCCCTACATGAGATGTTGTGAGAGGATGATTCGTGCGAAAGAAAAGCATGATGTACAAGTACGATTGTCTTTGGGGGGGCGATCCCTCTGTCTGTATCATGGGGGCCTTGAAGGGTGCGGTGGTCAAAGAAGGACGAACTTAATGTGTGTATGAAACTGGGAAATCGGCAAGGTCACTGGCGTTTCTGTACAGTATCTGTGGCTTTTTTCTTTGATGCCGATAGGTTTGAGTATTCGGTACCTAACTTTGAAATACCTCTTACGGAATGAACGATGCAGATGCGAGCATGCTCTGCTTCTGTGTCCTGAAGAAGACAACGAATGACAAAGATCCACCCCAAACTCCAGTCCACCTCAGTGAGTGTGAAATTTCCCCCTCTTTTTCGCCCGTCTAAATCCAATTTGCTGTCCAACGTTTTTGAAGATTATCCCAATCTCAGATTATTATCCCCACGCTCTTGTTACATTTTGATAAGGAATGGAGGGGTATCGATATACTTTTCGACTCTTTGGTGAGAAACGTCCCGAAACCCAGTAAACACGGCCGCGAACAAGATGATGGTACAATGGTGAGTTATCCACTTAGTAGAGCAGCTCGCCGCTGTCCACCATACGAGAGAACTTATCATCAGGGTCGACAAATTGGTACTCCTCGCCGCGAACGACGCGATCGACCTCCTCCCTGACAAACGGGAACACGTCCTTCCACGCGTTGCGACCCATCCAGCAGTCAAGATGTCCGTACCCCGGAACGACACGACGGCGGTACTGGAGCCCGCCCTGGCCGTCTCCGCCGTGCGAGCCAAAGGTATCGCACAGGATCTCGTACGTGCGCTCCGTCGCCTCGGGCGTGAGCACGGCGTTATCCCGGCCGACGAAGAGCATGACGGGAACGCCACGGAGGCGACGAATGTTCTCCGGCGTCGTGAGCGGGCGGAAGAGCGGGCCGTTTGTCATGACGTGGCCCTCGAAGCCTTGCTTCATTAGCAGCTGGAGCTGCGTCATGTTGACGCCGCCGAAGAAGCGGTCGATTTGGCGGTGCGTCGCCTCGTTGAGGTTGTTGTGATTCCAGCAGCGGCCGAAGACGAGGGTGCAGCGGTGACAGCTCGCGTTATTGCAAATCTCCTTGCGCTCTTCCGGGTACAGCCTCAGAGCCTCGTTGAGGGCGCGCTGGAGGAAGCTGTCGTCCTTGGCTGTGCTGCAGGAGAACCAGTTGCCGAGGACCATCTTGTAGAGCTTGTCCATGGGGATGGGGCCGATCATGACCTTGGCCATGTTGAGGGGCGCCCAGATGGGGTTCATGAAGACCTGGCTGCCGGTGATGCCGTGGACCCAGTTGGAGGGGATGGTGCCGTCCAGGAGACCCGTGGAGAAGGCGACGCTGCCCATGCAGTGGGCGATGCAGTAGACCTTGTTCTCTTTGGAGTTGCCGTCGGCGTACTTTTCGCGGATGTACTCGAGGCAGGCCTGCAGGTCCAGGCGGGCGTCGTAGGTCGTCCAGTTATTCTGGGCGACCATGAGCTGGCCGATGCGGTGGACAGCGATGAAGACGCGGTAGCCGGCGCGGGTGAAGTAGTTGACCGCGTTGTACTTGATCGTGGGCAGGGCGTAGATCTGGTGATCAACCGCGGCACCGGGGATCATGAAGAGGTTCTTGGTGTCAATGTTCGGGTTGGTCGGCTCCCACATGTGCATGCGCGTCTTGACGCCGTCCCGTGCGACGATGACGAAGGATGCTTTGGGAGGAGTGTCGTTGACGTAGCCGTTGTAGGTGACGCTGGGATACTGGAGGGGAGTAAAGGGCGCCAGGAAGAGGGAGAGCGACTTGCGAGTGAAGTAGGTGAGGAAGCTCGCCGCGCTGTAGGCCTTCTTGATAAGACTGCTCCCCGTGGGGGTCATGGTCATGATCTGAGAGACAAAGTCGGCGAATTGGATGTGCATGATGCCCTTGGCGACAACCTTTCCGCGGCGCCACGGTTCGTCGCAGTCGTGGACGGCCTCCAGGTCGCGACTGTGCTCGGTGATGGTGACATAAAGTGTGCTCGTAGCCTTCCAGAACTGCCAAGGAGCCAGGGCGACAGATGAATCGACGACCTTGTATCCGTGGAAGTGGTACTTCTCGCCGTGGATGCCTCGAAGGTCAAAGTCGTACGTCATATTGCGAGTTCCCGGTGCCTTCTGGTCCAGAATGAAGAGGTTAAAGTCGCCTCTCTGGACCATGAAAGGAGAACCGCGAAGAGAGGGGCAGACAAAGGTACCCGTCAGCATGGCAGAGTGGTCGGGCTCCTTGATCATAGACTTCGTGTTGAAAGCCTGCACACTGAGGAAGAATCTGGCGCTCTCGCAAAGGCTCTTGGCTGCTCGGTATGCCAGCTCATAAGTGGCCCGCTTGTCGGTCACCAGCCCATCGTCACGGTGGACGAAACCAGACATGACTTCGGTAAAGCCGAAGCCTCCAGCCTTGGACTGATCGGCATGGCGAATGAGTGAGCTTGCCTCATCAATCCTCTTAATCTCGACCTCAGTCTCTGCTGTTTCGTTTGATTCTTTTGGCGCAAACTGAGGCTCCCCAAAGAGGTCCAAGATGCCGTTCTTGTTGGGGTGGATCTTGAGGTCTCTCCTATGGATGTAAGCGTCGACGGAGCGCTCAGCCAGGGCTGTAATTGTGGCAAAGGGATTGACACCAATGGCACCGGGAATGACAGAGGCGTCGGTGACAATGAATCCAGGATGGGTCTCGTCGTCATCTCCGGCGAATACCTCACCAACATCGTTGGTGACACCGGAAGCGCCAGTATCATCGCGGGCCATGCAAGCTCCACTGTAAGTTTCGTTAGAATAGTTTACGAGAGATTCGAGGTCAAACTTACCCGATAGGGTGAACTGTTACTTGCTGGCCTCCCATCAAGGCATGAAAAGGGTTGTTGACAAAAGTTCCGCCCATAGCCTGCGTAGCCTTGGCCAGCAAGTCGTTGAGTTTGCGGACATGGTCGCTGCGACCAACTCCGAGGAACTCGAGAACTGGCTTGTCGTCCTTGAGAGTGAGCATAGCCTGACTGCTATCATGGGACATGACAAGGTAGACCTGAGTATTGTCCATGGATCCGCCTTGGCGATACGCGCCGAACAGATGGCTCGAGTACCGAGCGAACGCGGAGCGGACCTTCTCCTGGAACGGTTCTCCAGTGGCTTCGATACTGCCAGGCATCATCTCCAGTAGTGTTTGGAGGAAAGGTGTCAAAGAGCGAGGAATCGCTCCCTCTTGAATAACATAGCCATCAAGAGGGTTCTCGTGTCCTTCGCGATCATCAATGACGGAGTTGATGGTAGGCCCAATGGGGTTATATGGGTTCGGGAAAGGCTTTCCGATCGCGTTCGCCTCCTCGTCCATATTATATCTGATGACTGTCAGTCGCATGTTCCCCTTGGCAGTAAGTTCCAGACATACCCAAAAGCCAACATATCGCCATTTCCGCTCATATTTTCGCCGACACGGGGACTCAGGGGCAACCCCATCTCCTTGCTACGGAGGAGGATCTCCGTGCTACCAATAGCACCGGCACCAAGAAAGACGCACTCCTTAGCATGCACCCACATCAAGTCTCCGTGGAGATTGGCCTTGAAGTGACCACGGTTCCGTCCGTGCCAGGCAAAGAAAATGAGGTAGCCTCCAATACGCGGGTCGGCCTTCTTGATGAAACGAACCTCGCTCTCGCAGAACATTTCTGCACCCCAGTTCCAGGCATCGGCCAAGTAAGTCACCAATGTAGTCGTCTTGGAGCCATCATTGACACCAGTGCAATCCTGGCCGGTCAAAGCTGAAGGAGTCATCTCCACACCAGTACTGTTGGGTCCATTGCGGAACCTAGTTGTTTGAGGGACCATCTTGAACTTGTCGGACATGCCAAGAGCGGCGGCCTGCTTCTTGAAGAGGTTGACTTTGGGAAGTTCCGGCCAGTCATCTGGGTATTGGGTGGGCTCAAGAACATCCCGAGCTCTTTGGTAAACTGGATGATTAGTTGTCAGTGATGTCTACAAAGGTTTACAAAATGTTCATAAGACGGATGACTTACACTTCTTCAGACACTTTGGATTCTCCCTGATGGACTTGGGCCAGATGGGCATAGACAATGTGGCCTCGTTCGCTTCAAGGAAGACATTGGCGTTCATCAGACTCGTGCCACCCAGGCCTGTCATTGATTAGCAACATGTTTTCAACGTATTTGGGATGTAAGAAATTACCATTGCCAACAATAGCATTCAACCCCTTTCCGAAGATCAAGTGATACATGCCAGTCGGGTCACCCCTTTCGACGGTTGTGCTGGGGAGCCAACCAGGGGCAAACTCGCCAGAAACGTGAACCTCGTCAAAGGCATCGAGGACTCCAGTAGGATATTCACCAGGCCACTTCTCCTGGCCTCGCTCCAGTACACATACAGACTGACGCTTGCCGTTGGCATCTTGGCAACGGGCGAGGCGAGATGCGGCGACCGCACCACCGTACCCTGAACCAATGACAACGACATCATAACTGCTGCGCATCAGCTCGACCGGCTTGGATATGCGAGGATATTGCCTCCTAGCATCGTCGGCATATGTGCGGATGTTGGCGTAACTCCTGGATCTAGGGGCGTTGTCTTCTTCGTGGATTCCGAATGTTGGGATTCTGTGAGATTTGCTGTATCTGATGCCATTGTATGGGGGTTCCTCTTGATAAGATTTTGAAGACGCTGTCTGTGGGCGTGAGTCTGTAGAGGCAGGCGAGAAGCCGGTATACCTGGGAGTCGAGCCGTTGTGGCCGTTGTGACCATTGGTGCCGTTGCTGTCTAAGTGGTATCCGTTGGCTTTGGACACATTGATATGGCTGGGTCCGGACTCAGTGCCGTTCTTGAGGCTCTCTGTAGTAGCCATTGGAGCCATGTGTGTGGCGCTTCTAGCGCTATGACAACCAAGCGTGGCTAATTTCAGGGTATACAATACTCAAAAGCAAAGTTGATGAGCAGATGTGATGGTCTTGAGAGAGGCCTTTGCTGATTAGGATAATGCTGCCAAGATCCCGGGTTGATGTGGTTGGTGAGCGATAATGGACTGAGGATGAGAGGGGTTCACAAGACTCTATATAGCAACAAGATAGAGTAGTAGATACACGCTTCAAGGCTGAGACGGACGAATGCGGATGACGAGTGCAGAATGAAGGGCAGAAGAGAGAAATGGGCTTCAAAGAGAAGATGTAAGAATGCTTCGTTGGGGGATCCACGGCGGGCCAAGCAGAGGGAGATGCGCCGCTGCGAACTATTCCTAGTCAGAAATCCCACACTAGCATATGTAGATACCTAAACAGAGAACCCACCCCAGTCAGACCAGGAGGGAACACCACCGTGGATGACCGGGGTCCTGGGAACATCCTTGCCGAAAAGGCACATGGGGATACTAGGTCGCTAGGTGCACTGGGTGCGCTACGAACGAACGAGCTCGTCAAGTCGGCAAGGCCCAGTGCCGGATCCGTCATCGCATGCAAGTGTGAAAGGACATGCTGGGCGAGAATCAGAAGAGATGACCGTTGATCTCGAGCCGAAGCCAAACCAATAAGAGCAACATTGGAGAATGCATTGGCAGCATGTGGTCTACGGGAACTAGACACCGAACTTAAGATTGGCAAAATGAGGCAAGCTTGGGCTAGCATAGTTTGATAGCTCTGCTATCTTGTGTCTCGGGGCCAGAGCGCGAATCCGAATTCATTCATTCTTGAACTCAAGTTGGAGCGAGCCGACCTAATGAGGCTGGCTGGAAGCCGGGGCTTGAGACTCAAAGCCGGGCCCGGGTTTATCGGGCTCCTGGTAGGAAACGGGGCAGACAATGAGGGCGAGCAACATAGAAGACCATGGTATCGGCACGAGCTGAGGTCCTGAAGCCGGGGAGAGGAAGACGGGAGAGGGAGTGAGGGTGAGACTGAGGGTTCAGCGCCATGTTTCTCGAGGTGTGAGTGGGCGGTTGCGCCGGCGCAATAGGATGCAGAGCTGCAGATGTGCAGAAGGCGTTGCCGAAAGTTATAGTAGCGTCGTGTGGATAGTAGTCGGAGTAGGATTGTACTGCGTAAAAGTAGGAGGGCTGATGGAGAGTCGGGCTGTGACAATCATTTGTTAGTGTGCAGCAACTATTGCAGGAGATCCGAGACGGCATGAGTCTATTGGCCGGACCGAATCTGTCATGACCAGAAAAGAAAGAAGCTGCCTCTTGAGGTACATTGTCACGATTGTATTGGGTGGTGCCATTGGTGCCGTTGAAGGGTTGGATTGGGCGAGCTGGATGCTACGAGCAGTACTCCGTAAAGAGAGCAAGGTACCTACCTCGGTGGACGGGAGGAGAAATGGAAGTGAGAGCAAGATACGTATACGCACTCTAAACTAGAATACCTCACTAAGGTACCTCGCTACCTACCTGCCTAGTAATGTGAGCTAGGGGAAAGATGGATCCTGAGTGGCCGGTAAAGACATGTCTCTTGGGTCGCTCTTTGCGCGTGCGCAAACAGGCCAATGAAATTGGTCGAAAGTTGTCTCCTGTTCGGCTTTAGCCAGGCGGCCGTTCCCAGTGGGAAGGACTCGAAGGAATACGTACCGTGCCGTCGATTTCTCCACCCGACGGAGTGGTTGCCCGTTTGGACTTTGAGTGAGGCCTTTGCACCCTTCCCCCGCTTATCTTCAACTGGCAGCCACTCCAGAGCTCAGCCGAAAGGAACTTGCACTTGGTACGTGCGTCAAGTATCTTCTTTCCCAGACCACTCTTCCCGAATAATCAGTGATTGCCTAAAGCATCCTGGGGTCAATGATGAATTCAGCAACGGGGAAATGCTACTATGAATTGGACTTTACCCTTGATTGACCCCAGGCAGCCACAATCGACACCGAAGCCCTGGTCACAGAAATCTTCAGACCCCTTCCAAACGAGACAGCCGCAACCGTTAAAGAGGAATTGAGCCGCAAAGCCCGCTCGTACAGCATCAAGACATACAGAAAGCAATGGATTAGGTACTAGACCCAAGCAAGCCAGGCGCTGTCAATTGGACCAGTGCAAGTCATGAAATGAAGCAAAATCGGCTTCCATGCTGCCCCCCACATGGAAGCTGAGACAATCGAGTGGTGGACTCGGCTAGCCTGGTCTTAGTCCGTCCATTGAGCTATGAGATAACCATTGAAAGAGGAACCTGCCAGAGTCTTGTGCGAAAGGATCACCTTACGACTATCCCGATGTGTTGGTGCAAAGTGAATTCGATGTGACAGGGGCTGGGACCTCGGCCGGACATCATCCACGATTGGGCAAGGATTTTCATGCTACCCAGCCTTGATCTTGATCTTGATAAAGATGAGATGTTGTCCTCCTTTTCATCTTTCTGCAGAAGCTGCAAAAGCTAGCTACATCAGACTTTGATGCTGGGTGATGACGATTTATCCGTAGAAGCGCATGCGCCGCAGCGAGACACTAGAATAAACGAGACTTACATTGAATACCTATATGCAACTTTTTTTTCAGCATAGTCAATAGGGAAGGTCGCCTAATTCATTCTGATGTCAAGTAGATTGAGGACGTAAAAAAATGTTTGATACCTAACGTGCGCTGGCCATTGATAAGCGCGAGTGATATTGGCATGCGATTCGAGATGATAGCGCGACGGGTAGTGAACCAGGTTCCGATAACAATTTGGACTGGCCGGAATTGCGGACTCTGCATCATATGAGTGACGAAGTCCGAGGCTCCTGATGCCACAATCGCTGCCCCCATATCTCGTCTGACTGTGTTCTAATCCATGATCGATGTCACGAATGAATGGTCCCTGGCAACTGACTGCGTAATTTAGTAGCCCGTAAGCTCGCACCAACAACGCGGGCCTGCGGCAAGGGCCCGTAGTGGGTCTTGGTCCGGCCCCCCCTGCGGGAGGGTGGTCGCTGCGCCATCCGCTACTGCCCCGCTAATGCCATCCCGACTCGGCGGCCCCCACTTATAGCCCATCGGTGCCTTCCGAGTCTCATGAGATGTACATCATGACCGACCAATCTTTCCAATTAGAGTGCCCATATCCCAAGGCAACCGTCGGGCTGAACTGTGTCTCTTTCATCTTACATCCAGCTTTGCGGTAAAGTTGCATCATTCGTCTCGGTCATCTCCAGCCCCGTATTACTGCGTGCCTCGTCTGCCTCGCTATTGGCAGATCGACAAAACACCAACAGTCAGCAACGTGCGATGAAACCTATGCCAGTGCCGAGTCGACCATTATCGTGCAATATCATTTGACAGTCCACGGATCAATCCTTCCAGGACCGTGTAGGGCTGATTTCACTGCCCACGAGGATGCAGACTTAATAGGTACATCAGATGGCCGCTGCTGCAGGGGTCAACCCATCAGCGTCTGGCCAATGCGCCATAACGACTTACAACGACGTCGGTGGCCTCGTCACTCGCCCAGTCGTGCGCCGCCTCTTCTCGATGGCATGATGCAAGGTCGATCAGTAGGAACGAGTGCTGGAGCGACGCATGTACAGTACGGCGAATTGTTGAACTCCCTTCTTTCTCTGCTGCTCAATTCCTACTGCTGTCGTACCCCTCGTAGTCACAGGACGCGAGTTGTGCTGGAGATGGTACGTTCCGATGCATTTTTTCCAGAGACACACACCTTACGTCCGTTAGGAACGCCTTCTTCAACAAATCCACCACTGGAAACACGCGGTATTTATAAAATGACGTTAAATAAAACATCATCGACATGTCGTGCTGCGCGGGATCTTGTCCGTGGTCGAATCAGCATTATCGTCGAATCGTTTCACAACATGTGAAATCCCCGGGAACTTCTCTTTCCAGCGGTCACACTATCCCTACCTAGGACGCATTGGGGAAACACAATGGACAACAACGATAACTGCTGGCGCTTCTGGATTTCTGTTTGGCCAACGTCAGCTCGGCGATGCGGGCCTGGCGCATGCAGCCCCATCCCTCGCCTTGCCAGTGACACCCACATCAGCTAGGGTCGGCGGAGGCATTCTATATCATGTCCAACATTGGACGAGACGAGCCGTCGAGTAGGTACACGTCGAAATCGAGTCCGTGAGCCACAATCGACGTCGATTCACCCGTCGTTGCACTGCCACATCCACGTAGGCGGATGCTTCGTAGCTAGCAACGTTATCCTGGCCCTCGAAATATTGAGCTAGCGACAGGCAGAACGCGAATTCGGGCCGTCTTCCTCTCGTTCAGCACTATCTTCAACTCTCCAAGCATGTCATCTAGCTGCAGTCCTTACGGCAGATGGCGGAAAGATGCCGCTACGCATCTACTCAAAAGACCCTCAGACGTGCCTGGTATCCGAGGGCAACCTACCAGAGTGTACTGATATCGCTAACGTAGGGCCTCACAAGGTGACGATCTTTGAGTGAGTAGAGCTACTTCACTAGGCTCTTTGAGATGGTAGAAATATCAACGGCAGACGAGCCGGCTCCGTGCCGCAGTTGAAAGTGGCTTCAGAGTGTCAGCACTCGTTTCAATATCTTCTCTCGTCAGCACCTTCTCTTCACACCCATTCAGACTCGCCGCCCTCCTTCCAAAGTGGCGTTTCTGGAGGAACCGGCTTATTCCAAACCTTCAGTCGGCACTTGGAAAGACGGCGGTTGAATGTGACACTCTGTTGAGATATTTGCTCATACTTCATTGACGACCAGTCATCACTCAAAGAGCAAAGAGATTTGCTTATCAAAAAAAGTAATTGGTATTGATTTAACTCAGGTATCCCTGCCGCCAACGCCAGCTCCGAAATACAAATAGACGTTACACCAAATTTCAAGGTCATCACTACGTCTGCCCATCGTCCTTAGACGTGGTTGCCGCCACTAACACTAACTTTTCGTGTCCCTTCCGAATTACCGGTCGAGAGCGTTTAGTTCCACCAGTCACCCTGGTCGTGCATGGCACGGGCAACCTTGACGAAGCCGGCAATGTTGCTACCAGCGACCAAGCTGGGAAGCTCAGTCTCACCACCCTTGACGTACTCCTTGGCGGTGTTGAGGCCGTTGAAGAAGGCAGCGGTCATAATGTCCTTGAGCTTCTGGTCAACCTCCTCACGGGTCCAGCTCAGGCGCTGGCTGTTCTGGGCCATCTCGAGGCCAGAGACGGCGACACCACCGCAGTTGGCAGCCTTGCCGGGAGCGTACCAGATGGCCTCGGCGTTCTTCTCCTTGCGGTGAGCCTCGAAGACGTCGATAGCCTCCTGTGTGCAGCCCATGTTGGAGCCCTCGGCGATGGCAATGCAGCCGGCGGCAATGAGAGCCTCGGCCTCCTCCTTGGAGACCTCGTTCTGGGTCGCGGAAGGCAGAGCAATGTCGACCTTGCCAACGTGGGTCCAGGGGCGGGCGCCCTTGATGTACATGAAGGAGCCCTTGTGGTCGAACTCGGTGAGAGACTTGCGCTGGACCTTGAGGTCGGCAATGTTCTCGATCTGCTCGGGGGTGAAGGCAGCGTCACCTTCGGCGACGAGGCAGCCCTGGGAGTCGGACAGGGAGACGACGGTGGCACCGAGCTCGATGCACTTGAGAGCAGCGTACTGGGCGACGTTACCGGAACCAGAAATGGCAACACGCTTGCCGGCAAAGGTGCCCTTGTTGGCGTACTTGAGCATCTGCTCGACGTAGTAGACGACACCGTATCCAGTGGCCTCGGGACGGATCAAGCTACCACCCCAGGTAAGGCCCTTTCCGGTGAGGACACCCTCGAACTTGTTGCGCTCCTGGCGGTAGGTACCGAACAACCAGCCGATCTCGCGGCCAGAGACACCAATGTCACCAGCGGGGACGTCGGTGTCGGCGCCAATGTGCTTGCTGAGCTGGCGCATGAAGGAGACGCAGAAGCGACGGATCTCGTTGTCGCTCTTGCCCTTGGGGTCGAAGTCGGAACCACCCTTGCCACCACCCATGTTGAGGCCGGTCAAGGCATTCTTGAAGATCTGCTCGAATCCGAGGAACTTGAGGACGGACAGGTTGACGGTAGGGTGGAATCTCAGACCTCCCTTGTAGGGACCGAGGGCTGAGTTGAACTGGACGCGGTATCCGCGGTTGACCTGGAGCTTGCCCTTGTCATCCTCCCAGACGACGCGGAACTGGATGACGCGCTCGGGGATGGAGACGACCTCGAGGGCAGTTCTGTACTCGGGGTTCTGGGTGAAGAGGGAGGAGTTCTCGAGGGTGCTGACAAGCTCTATAGATAGTGTGTTAGTCTTATTGGATGCGATGGGTAAGCATGGCTGTTCGTGGTCACATACCGTTGTAAGCCTGCTGGAACTCGGGCTCAGTAGGAAGGTTAGACATTTTGGCGGTTTAAAGGTATGTTATATATGTGGTGCTCCAAGGTTGTGTCTCTGAAAGGTGAGTTCCTAGTTCGTCGTTGGCAGAGAGAGAAGCTGATGAAGTTCCAAGTCCAGAAGATGGGGGAAAGGAGGTGCGCCCGCAAGATTATATACAAATCTGGGAACCCCGTCGATCGAAACGAGAGCCAAATCGAATCGAGTAAGAGCTCACAGGCTGGCAACGGCGAAGCGTCTTGTTGCCCCATGTCCCCCCCGGCCATCTACTCCTCCAAGCTTCGGGAGCCCCTTGTTGGTGAAGGCAGATGCAGGCGGGGACCAGGGACTAGCGTGAGAGCAAGACATGGCCGGGTCGGCCGTGGGGGGCGTGGACGGTGGAAAGAGAGAGAGAGAGATAGGACTCCTCCCCTCATCTCTCTTCTCACGTCTCAAGCGCGTTCATTCGGCGCCAGACCGACAATTTGTCCTGTCCCATAGCTAACAGAAAGAGGTAAGAAAAAGAGGGCTCGGGTGAAACCTACGCGGGTTGACGTAAAAAAGACTCAGCGAGTTCTAGGCTGGATAGACTGCCGGGACCGGGCCCGGGTTTCCACGCTATTGTGGCCGGCGGGGGGTTCTCGAGGGTCCCTTTCATGCAGCTCTCTGATTTGCTGGCGAGTTGTGAATTATTCACTACCTTTACCATCACAAAGAGACAAGAGGTGTTTGCGCTGCCGCGCGAGCGGTGCGATCCCGGAGGCGGCGAGCCGAGCTGCGCTGCCGCCCAGGTTGTAACCAGGTATTGCTGGGGCGGAAACCAGGAGTCCGCAATGGAACTGCAGGGGCTCAGGGATGGCCCGGACGCTCCATTGTTCGGGAGAGGGAAGAAGACATGCCTGAAGCCCTGGGAATGCGCTCCATGAAGCCCATCGACAAGCCCGGCGCGCGTGTCCCAAACAGGCCAGAACCTGGGGCACGTCATCCAACAATTGCAGCCCATGCCGCAAAACCCCCCCACCGCTGGCACATGCTTCCGCATGCACGGATTCTGTTCTGTGTCTCGCCCTTCTTTCTTGTCTGTCACTGGGGAAGAAAGAAAAATAAAAATAAAGGGACCCCGTCAAATGTTGCTGTCATTGGAAATGTCCTTGCATGCTGTGGCGTGCCACTTGGACAAGAGCCGAACTGTAGTCCTATCATTCGTCTCTCATTGGTTGGGCCAGGTTGTCGAGATACAGCGAGGTAAGGTAGATCAAGTCTTCAAGTTTTTTTTTTTCGGTTTTCAAGATCTTCTAGCTCTGCAACGCTAGAAGCCCAAACTGCCACTCGTCGTCGTCTCTCTCTCTCTCTCCTTCCAAATCGTCGATGCTGGTGCGGCAGCGCAGATGGCGGCACTAAGAGAATTATCTGGGCAAGGGTGGTGGCTATCACTTTTTGGCCCATGACGCAGCGGCGTCCATGTCTTGCATAGACCCATGGGGTGTGGTTTTTCTTTGCTCCATTATGCCACTTGAAGGTCAAGATAAGGAAATTACGGAGTAGAGGGACGAGGATTTGCGACACATGTGAATTGATCATTGCAACTCGTAAAGGTGTGGTGAGTGGTTGGATGTGAATGAGTGGTGGCCAGAAGCAGGCTAGCATGAACGGGAGATAGATTGGCAGAAAGAGGAAGAAAGAAAAAAAAAAAAGTGTCCGAAGAACGGCGCGTCGAGTCGCAGTTCCGCGATCGGAAGTGAAAGTGCAAGCTGTAAGTGTGTGTGTGTGTGTGTGTGTGCGACACGAACGAGTGATTGAACGAAGACGGCTGGGCTACCGCTGGTGACAGACTGAGCTGACACGCGAAAATGCTCAGCCGATTTGAGTCGGAAAGTGCGACGCAACCCGATACAATGCGCGCTGCCTGCTCTCCTATCCTCGCAGACCTTACCCCGCCGACGTCGCCCCTCCTTCACCACTTGAGTCCTTGACCAGGGGGCACGTTGGGTTGCGGTTTCTGCCCCTCGCTTCTGAACTCCCGATTCCCGAAACCGCTGTCGCGTGTTTTATTTTTTATTTTGTCTTTGCTTTAGTCTGATCCTGTTAGTCCCCTGAAGACCACCTAGGCAGGGGTTTCTTTCCTCCGGTGGTTCTCCGGGGCCATCATTGCCGCCGTTGCTGGAGTGCTGGAGAAAAAAAGGAGGGCTTAAATCTGTATCCGTACGATGGAAAGGAAGTGTGGTGGCCCCCCCCAAAAATCTCATCTCGGAATTGTGTTGTTAGTTTCGCAGCCTTACGGTGTGTTGGTATCGCTTGAACTGTGTTGACATGGAACGGGGATGGGAAATGCTCAAGTCTCATTCGACGATGCACGCATTCAAAGTCAACAACAACCACTACCACCACCACCACCGCAAACAGTTCAGGGACTTGTAGCTCCGCTATTTACACACACACGAATGCACACAGAGACAGAGGGTTGCTCGGCACGTACGTAATGAGTTGGCTCTGTGAATAATGCAAACCACGGTATTGGCTACCAAGATCAATTTGTAGTTGCAAAATTACAAGCAAGCTGCATCTTTACTAGAAAGCTTAACGTATCGTGCATGTTTATCTATATTGATAGATCTCTCATAGGCATTAGCATCACGAACTTTGGAAGCTGCATCACACACACACACACACACACTGGAGTACAGATGGGTGTGCGCACCTCTGCAGTCTGAGGTGCCTAGGTAAGGGCGGAGCACAGTCAAAACTCCTCGGCGTAACACAGTAAACCAGGAGATTGATAACCTTAGTTCCAGAAAGATGATGAAAAGAGAAAGAAAAAAAAGTCCCGCGTGGAGAGAATCCCAGCTTCAGCCCAAACCCCGACCCGAGCGGATGACCGACCGACTGCGGCGACAACATCTACGGAGTAACACAGACCAGGAGTCTAGGACGACGTGTTTCCATCTGCCCATCTCATCTCATCTCATCTCCCCCCCTCCCGAAGGCTCCCATCCAGTCCCGTCGCCGCCGCCACCACCAGAAGCGCCGATCCAGCAGCTGGGTAAGGCGAAGGCGGCCTGAACCTGGGCAGACAGTGAAGTGACACGCACCAAATGGGCAAAAGAGGGCGGCGGCTGCCCTCACGTCCGCCCTTCCGCTGCCGGCGGCGCCCGGGGCGACCGACCCCCTCCAACGAACCACAGCGCTCGCCCAGCGATGCCCAATTCTCTTTTACTCAATTCACACACACAACCAGAACTCCCTCACTCGTTCGTTTCGTTCCTGCAACCTCCGATTCCCACAACGGAACTTGTCCATGCATCGAGAACTCGGAGACACTTTTTTTTCTGTGGAATAATGCCGCAATCTAAGCTCATCTCTCTTGCTTTCTCCTCGTATTATGGCCATATTGGGACTACATACAGGACCACTCCCTCCCGATTTTTTCCGACGTATGGAGGATGCTTCTCCGTCTTTGAATATCATGTTGCATGTTGTTTCTCCCCCATACCCTTAGCCTACTCTCTCGGACCCATTCCCTGCCTCCTTGTGCGGAATACGAAATCCTCTTGGAATCCATATGGAAACCAATGAAAGAAAGAAAAAAAGAAGTCGAACAAACGCCGTGAAACGCCTACCCCGAAACAACATATCTGCCTGCATAAACCTCCTGTAGACCTGTAGACCTCCACACCACCGCTGCATCCAGTCTGCAGCTGCAGAATGTCTCCAAGGTCGGCTCATGGGAAAAGAAAAGCTTAGCGTCGTGAAAACCCCCCCTTCATACCCCCCCATATACTAGGTATCCCACTTCTTGGCACGCCTTCTACCAGATTGCCGCCTGGTCAAAGTCGAACCTCTTCAGCTCCTTCCCTGCATCTTCCAAGTCCTTCTTCGCCTTCATACGCATGTAGAAGATGGGGCAGTCCTTGCTACTGCAAATCACTTCGCAGTGCATGCTGCCCTGACACCGCTGGCACTGCGTCCAGAGCCGGCCGAACCGCACCTCGAGATCCGACGTCTTGTCCAGTGTCTTCTTGTATAATTCGCCGACCCGAGGCGCGCAATCCGAGCACACTGCCCCCGCGCTCTCCTCCTTGCCTCTCAGTGGCTTCTTGCATCCCATGCATGTTTGCGTCTTCTTTGCAAACTTCATCAGGCCTCCGACGGCCGGCGCCGATACTGCAATTGTGCGTGTGTGCGCTCCCGTGAGCAGCGAGTTCGCCTTCGTCTCACCTAGGATGGGCTCGAAGATTCTGCCCAAGGGCTTCGCAAGCTGATTATCAAGATAGTATCGGGTGTCGATCGGTACGTTGTTCTCAAGGACGTAAATGGGATCCTCAGACTTCTCGTAGTTCTTTGCGCCTGCCGCACCCTTGATCATCACGTAGGCAACTCGATCACCTAGACCTGGTGCCGAGCCTGCATCGCGCTTCTTCATTCTCTGAGCGAGCTCGACGTGAGCCTGTTTGGCTGCATAGTCATCTTTGGTGAGCGCCTTCGTAATGACCAACTTCGACATATCAACCTTGTTTTGCAACAAGTCTGCAATCGTATCTTTGACGTAGCTAAGGCAAAAGGGGTCAGTGGATGTGGTTCAGCAATCGGAGGATGCAAACTTACTCTTGCGCTCCTTGGACATCTTGGTCGATAAGCATCATTCGAAGCACCTTCTCAATGACGGTTTGCACGAGCAAGCAGTTGTCTCGTCGAACTGTCTCGATACCCTTCGTATCCATTTTGTCATACTTATTGGGATTCGTCCAGTACAGGCCGGCGTAGCGTTTCTTGTTGATGAGTAGGTACGGGTAGTACACCTTTTCGAACTCCAACTTGATCGGCTTGACGAACTTGGAAGAGACGAAATTGGCAGCTTCCTCGCCAAACTTCATCGCCTCAGGAAGGTCTTTGGTGCCAAACTTGACCATGACAGAGTCAGTATCACCATAAATGACCTGAGCGTCATGGGTGTATCCGTTGGCAATGCAGTATTTCTTCTCCACCTCCTCTTTCGTCTTCATAATCATCTGTCGGCCAAAAGCCGTTGTGCTACTGGCGATTTCAAGACAAGGCAGCTTGCCAGTTGTCGCACCCGTGAGTCCGTACACAGAGTTGGCACTGATCTTCAAAGCCAGTTGTCGACCGTTCAGCACTGCTTTCTTGAAAGGATCTGTTTCTCCAGCCAGTTCACGCTTGGCCTGCTTTCTTGCGGTCAAAAGTTCCTCGAGAATCTGAGCAAGGAGACCCTTGCGTTTATTGGCAGTCACAAAGGTGTCGCCGTTCGGGGTGACAATGTAGTCCTCGTCCTTCTTCAGATCAAACTTCTCAATGGCCTTCTTGTTGACTAGTGTCGTATAGCAAAGGTTGTGGGCCTGCATGATACTCGGGTATAGGGAAGCGAAATCGAGGGTTGCGATAGGCACGTCATAATATCCTCGGGTCGGCTCGATGACCGTGGCACCTTCGTACTGCTCGTCACTACCCTCGGATCTCATGTTGGGGATGACCAGCTTCTGTTCGAGGGCTTTCCGGAAAAGCTGACTGATGAATTTGACTTGCTGCCCTCTGGAGAGCAGAAAGTTGAAAGGAATTCCTGTGACTCTTGCCATCTCAGTGTAGTTCTCGAGACAAGACAGCTTGTCCATGAGACGCTGCGGGAGGTATGCGTCCTTCAAACAGTACAGGGCGAGACGTCGGCGTGATTCAGGGGTACCGTTGAACAGTTCCGTGATCATAGTGTAGTGAACATCTTCCTTTTGCTCTCCTAAGAATTGGGAGCATACAGAGTTGAGCGTGTAACTTCGAAGGTGGTGGTCGCGTTGGACGAGCTGTAGTAAATCGAGTTGCAAACGTCCGTTGGTATTGGTGGCCTTGCTGTCGCGGTTGCCCATCTGCTTACTGGAGAAGTTGGTCTCCTTGGCCCTGGAAGGGATGCTTGGAAGTCGAGACCAGTACTCGAATCCTCCAACCTTCAATGTCTTCGCTCTGTCGAGGAGGTAAGGGAAATCAAAGTTGGCAATGTTGTATCCGATGATGATATCTGGGTCGACTTTGATGAGGAACTTCTGCCACTCGCTGAGCATCTTCTCCTCCTTTTGGAACTCGAGAATCTGTGTGGCGACGATAGGACTGGTTTTATCCAAGCAGAAGACATTCCGCACGAAGGGCTTCTTTTCTCCGTATCTTGTGACGACGTTCGCAATCTGGATGACGGGGTCGTGTGTCGCCTCGGGGAAGATTCCCTTACGTCCAGCGCACTCGATATCGAACGACATGATTCTCAAGGGAGCCATCTTGGACCACTCTCCCACCGGCTTGTGAGCAACAAGGTCGAGGTAATTGATCTCGGCTTCGATTTGGCAGTTCGATTGTCGTTGAGACTGGTGTAGGACCTGGTATTTTGATGCGGGAGCTTCAACCCAAGACATTCCGAAAATCTAGCAGGGAAATGTTAGCCTCGTCAAGATAGGTGACACCAGAGGAACGCGCCTTGCAGTCAACCATGAAGCGGAGGACATATTGAATATTGTCGAATGTCATGATACCACCATCCATGCCCTTCCACAGACCCTTCCAGTTGGCATTGCCCGACTCGATCGTTGTCCGAACCCTGGCGATGAACTTGGGGTCCATGACAGTGACCTTGAGGTAAGGACTCTTGACATTTCCTTGGAATCCGTAGATGTTCTCCCTCATCAGGAAAGCAACGGAGTGAATGCAAGGCTGGTGCTGTGCTACTTGTGACTCGAGATAGGCCTTGAAGGCATTGCAGTCTTCGGGTCGGAATGCCACCGGGGCGGCGACATATAAGTAGTGTTTAAAGTCTGTGACGTGCAGCATCACTGAGTGACCTTGCTCAGTAACACCAAACAGCTTGACTGTTGCTCGGCCACCATGTAAGCTGCCCTCCTCTGCCTCAATTTGCTGGAAGGTCAGGCTGTCCCTGGCCGGATTGAAGTCGACGAGAGGAGGTCGCTCCCATGCTTGGTCCTTCTCGGTATTGTTCTGCTTGAGTTCAGAGATGTCTTGGCTCAACTTCTCGAGGACTTCTGATTCGAAGGCGCTCTTGGGTTGACTAGAGCCCGGGAGATTCTTCGCATTCTTCTGGGAGCCGACATGGCGGGCGGGTGAGGACGAGAACCCTTCGACTTTGCGTTTCTTTAGGGACGAGGGCGTCGACGGGATGTTGCGACGGGTGCTTGGTGTCTCCCCAAGCACACGCTTCTGAGGCAGCACTGTAGCCATTGTGATGATTTGGCTGTGGTGGGAGGATTGTGCAGAATGAATCAACCAGACCTCATAGTCGGGTGGATTTGGGGGGTCACTAGGTTGTTGCTATGGGATGGAACTTTCAGAAACCCATTAACGCGAAGACGCGCTTGACGTGATTGACGTCGACGTGACTTGACCCACTCTAAAGTGGCTGATGGAAGGCGCAAGTCGATGACTAAGGCCACACTTGGGTTCCTCTGGGTCTGAGACGCGACGTTGACGCCAAAGACGGGAGGTGCAGGGGAGCGGGTAATTCCCAAAGTATCTCCACTCAAGTTCAGGTACACCCTCAATAGTAACATTGACCACACACCGAGGTACCTGCCTGACCAGAACCGGGAACGAACTTCTGGTCTGTTTGTTTACTTGGTAGCCACTTCTGCCACTACAAGAAAGTTGTTGTTTGGTTCCTTTTGAGTCAAGTCTTTTCATTTCAGTCTCAGCAGCGGAGCGATCTTTGTAGAGGTAGAGATGGTCGGAAGGTTCTCCAGAATGACAATCAAAGTGCTGAATGGCTTATTGCAATATCTGCCCCGAACATGGACTTTCAATCATTGTAACTAAGGCTAGATGTGGCCGTTTAAATGTTATATAACTACAAGATGTGCAAGCTTCTGACCAATACTTCTGAATTGGACTGGCGCCCGTCGTTGCACTACTAAACATGGTCTCTGTTAGCTGACAAAATCTCAACAGTAAATGTAATTCCAGTACAGTAGTGTAGTAGAACATAGACTCGCAAAGCGATTAGCTAGCTCTGTCCCGTTGCGAAGAGACGGGGCAAAAGAAAGGCATGCTTGTTTGCAAATATCTTCAGATATCCATTCTAGAGGCATCAACGGCAGTTTGTCACAACCGCTCAGCTAAGCCATGCAAATAGGATTCATCAAGAGAGTGCCGGGAACATTATGACTGTGAAAGGAGAAGCACACTTACTCTCAGCCCCTTCCGAAACAATTGCTTTGGCGTGGTAGGACAGCCTTTGACGTATGGCGACGCAAGGAATTCCTTGGAGTTGCGTCTGTGGGCGCGACCGTGGCGGGCTCGCTTTCTCAACAGAACAGGCATGTATACACAGAAACCATGGGGGAAGAAGCACTCATTTATGTTTTCATATTAGGACCGGGCTGGGTTTTCAATACGTAAAACCTCGTACAGCCCATCGAATGATATGTGCGGGGTAAACGAGGGGCGTCAACACACACGTCCGAGGACGATGCGACTATGTGATGCCGAGACGGTTGGTCGGTCAGCGGGCAGCGAATAGAACCCTGGCAAACCCCCGCAGCCGCTATGCGTTCGCTATGTATGGCTTTACCTATGAAGAAGACTTGTCTCTGTTGGACGTATGGGAGAAGATCTTTCTTTCTTTTTTTCATAAAATAACCCATCGTGAACCGGACGCCGTCGCTGAGCAATGCAAATCATGAACCATCCTTGCCAAAGTCCTTAAATCAATGCAATGCAGACTCTCGTGGCATTAGTTCGAGTATTCCTCCTTCAGATGTTAACTCTTCATGATGAAGTAAGCTTCAACTGGTCAAGCTCGCACCAATTGTTTACAGGCTAATTATGGGTTAGCAGACAATCTTGAACATGAGTCATCAGACAACTTACAATACAACTGAGGTACTTGCACCAACTGCAAGTGTTGTGGTAGACGTAGAAGTTGTTCAGTAGGACGACGAAGACGATGATGACGGTCAGCAAGAAGCCGGCCCTGACCAACCACCATGCCCACCAGAGTGGCTTCCTGCCCTTGAAAAACCCGATGGGATTTTTCAGGAATGGAGGCGGGCCACCCTGGTTGGGAGTGAGGTGCATGGATGCGTATGACGGATCCTCCGCGCCAAGCCTGCGTCTCAAAGAGTTGGGTGAGTGCAAGACGCAAATGCCGAGCGCAAGACCCATCAGGAAGCCACCAATATGGGCAAAATTGTCGAGTCCAGGCAACAGACCCAGCACGAAAGAGATGACCACATCCAACATAATGAACATCAGGTCCTTCACAGGGCTGCGGCGGTCTTTCCAGGAGTATAGGAGATCGAGCAGGGTGAGGGCAATCACGCCAAAGAGGGCGCCTGAAGCACCTGTAGACGCAGCCATAACACCAGCGTAGTTTGCTCCCATAACGTTGCCGAATATGCCCGCGCTTACATAGACCAAGAAGAATCGAATAGAGCCGATAGCTATCTCCATCTCCTTACCCATCGTCATCTGCAGAAGCAGATTAAACCCGATATGGATCAGACCTGCGTGCAGGAAGATGGGTGTGATGAAGCGGAACCACTGGTTTGGTTCCGGCGACTGATTGATGTCGTTGTAAGGAGACTCTGGCTCCGGCACACCTCCAAAGCCGCACAAATCGCCGAGGCCGCACTGGTTCGATGGGTTGCTTACGTCGTTAGAGGTTGAGTTCGGGCAAGGCCAGTTGATTTGCTGGCCGTAATCTTGGATACCCTTGACGTTGTGCATGCAAGCTACATAGCGAGCACCCATGTTGATCATAACGTAGGTCGAAGGTCCAATCATGGGGTTGAATGAGGGTTTGATCATGATGGGAGAGCCGGTGAGTTGAGCTGTGTTCCGTTAGTGTCATTGCCGTCAAATCTGACTACTTGATTTGGCTTACCATTCTTCACAATCTCGGCGATGAAGACTGCGACCTGCACCAATGTGAAAATGTAGACCACCCACGGAATACCCTTCCTGTCGGCGCCAAACATGCCCAGCTGACCGAACCCAACCTTGTTCTTGTCGCGGCGACTCTTTGAGCGACGAGTTCCCGCAGGTGCGTCGTAAACATGGTCATTCTCGTTCATCTCCACATCTTTGTGCGGCTGCGTCGGCTGCCGGCTTTGCAGGGGAATTTCGTCGGCCACATTCTGTCTGCTCGAGTCTGGAGAAGTAGAATGACCGTAGTAAGCTGTGTCGGGCTGAGCGTAAGGATTCTGCTGGTGGGCATCGTGGCTATTGTATGGCGTCTGGCCGTGGCCAGTGTAGGCTGTGTTTACTGTGTTCATGGTGTTCATGCGTTGGGGTTGCATGTTGTTCGTGGTCTGAGGATGAGGGCTCTGTGTGTTTCCGTTGTGGCGAAATCCGTCCTGTGTCGAGTCTACGGGGTAAACATGATCGTCAAAGACACTTTCGAAGGGTGATACGGTGTTGGCGCGCGGTGGTGGTGGATGACTGGCGCCGGGCGCGGGAGTTATTGAGCTGTAGGGAGGAGCGGGCGTTGAACTGGCTGAGGGAATGTTGTTGTAGGCAGCACCGCCGTAATAGGGAGCAGGTGAGGGAGAAGCTCCTGGAGGGGGTAACGGTTTGTTCTGGTAATAGTCGTTGGCGGCCATGATGTGTGCTGGGTCGGCGGATGCCAATTACGAAGGGATTGGAATTAAGTGAGACCAGGGGAATGGGAATCTGGGCAAGGTCTCGTCCTTTTCTGAGAGTCGAAATCTCGCTTGGAGTGGCTGAACTAGGCTTCGGCGGGCAGCGAAGGCAGGCAAGGCGAATCGGACTAGTGCGAGATGGAGAATGGCTCAGGTACCGACCGGAAAGGGATGGGACGCGGAGAAATGTGACAGCGGGAGGGTTGAAATGAGGTGTGTGTCGTTACGCGGTCGGGGGGTCGTGGATATTTGTTCGATGCAGCGTTTTGGCGTGGATCGATGAGCCCGAGCTAAGCCTGGAAGACGGATGGAGTGATTGAGTTGAGGTATGGATACAGTGCAGGGTGTCCGTGAGCGCAGTGGGTCGGGTAACAAGCAAATTAAGCCCGACTAGCCGGCCTCTCTGAATGAGACCGAGTCACCAAGGTAGTAAGCTGAGAGGGCGAAGCCGCAAAGGAGAAGTGAGAAGAAGGTCGCAAGAGGTAATTGCAGGTTTACCTCAGGCGCGCGGTAGACGAGTTATGAGTTAGCGGGCTGGGAGAATGCCTGTGCACTCAACCTGAGCTACACTACTTCAGATGACCGGGTGAGTAGAAGATGGTTTGGGTGTTTGAGTGTCGAAGCGCAAAAAGGAGACTTCCTGTGTGACACCTAAGGGGTTATAGGGGGGGAAACGAGTGAAGGGAGGGCTACTTCAGGCTCGTATGTCGTCGGTCGAGGGATGAATCTAGTAACAGGAGCTGGACACGTTCTCACGACACGAAGGGGGGGATGCGAGGAGGTTATTTCTTTTAAACAGCCCAGCTTTCAAACACAAGCCTTCCTGGTCTTGTTTCTGTTTTCTGCCCAAGCCCGCCAAGTGGGAGGCAGAGTACCTTGCGGGTTGCGCTGAACCAACACCACGCCGGGTTGGGTCCATAGGTACCTACGTAAGATACTCCGTATAGAGGAGGAACGGCGCTGTGGTTGGCAGTGAAGAGGACCCAAAACACTGCCCGCCTCTCAGACTCGAGGAGTCTCTTGAACGAGTGGATCACGGTGACGGGAGTGTGTGGGAGGTGGCCCAGTGAGAGCGAAAGAGGGGGATGCACAATGGCACACCACCAAACGGGAGACTGAGCAGGGTGCAGTAGGCTTGCAGTAGTTCCGGCTTTGAGGCTGTGTCAGCAATGCCAGCCTTCTTTTTCTGCATCTTCCGAACCTTTTCCCCGCCGAAGAGGACAGTCGCCAGCAGGTTTTCATACACCTACGGATCGGACATTTACATAAGCCTGAGGTGGGCAAGGAGCGAGTATAGCGAGGCGCCGTACCTTCTCAGCGCTTCCTTGCCTTACGAGTCACTCCGTACGATGACTACGGAGTACAGAAGTCAAAAGTGACAGAGCGGTTGTCATTCAGCAGCAGCGCATCTGCATGTGCATCTGGCAGCCCTTTGTGGCAGCGGCACACGTCGCGGTACGAAGACTCGTGGCTGCACTTCCGAGTTGTGCTATGTTTGGAACAGTGACCCACAAGTTTCAGATAGTTGCGTAACCAGCCTGCCGACCCCCGGCGTGGCAGGTGAGCTGTAACTCGACCAGACCCTTCGTGCCTTCTTCCAACGTCCTTTCTTGCCTCTGTCGTATGTACCTTCCCACTGATTCCAACAAGGCTCGGTACCTTACAGAGCCATACCTCAGCCGAGGTGGATATGCCCGCCACATTATTCTTCTCGAACTGGCTCCGCTGGTTGTTCTTTCATGAGCGTCCCCCATCTGTTCTACGGGCTTCGAGGCAGCCCAGCACAGCAAGCCATCCACCTCACTCACTGATCTGCATAGGATAATCAACTGTCAGCACTCGAAACCTTGAGAGACAGCCACAGCAGCTTCTTGCAATCCTTCCGATGCTAGAGCGACGATACAGGAGGAAGTATCCTATGGCCAACGACTGCCGATCCATGCAGTGCATGCAGACGACGGGCAGCACCCTGGCACCCTGGCTCCGACACTCGCTCCGTAGGGCGACCACAACCCCAAGACTTCAAGAGTCATGACCCTGGAAACCCTCGGCGATTCCACAGCGTTGGGGGAGCAACACCAGCATGAGGTGTTCATTCCATTATTTTCCATCCCATCAACGTCAACTGCAAGGACCGGCCTTACGGGGCAGGAAACCCTTCAGTTTCTAATCGGCCTCTCCTTGGAATAAATGACGAGAAGCCATCCCGGATATCCGGGGATCCCCAATAAAGCTCTCAAATGAGCCTTACAAATGGACCCCAAGGACATGACCGACCGGAATGTGGATTTCGCAACACCCGCTATATTGCGCCTTCCTAAAGAATCTGCCCGACACCGTGGGTTCTTCGCATCTCAGCCCTCTTTTGCTCGACTCTTCCTGGTCAACATCGTGGCGTCTACTCATCGCTTCAGGCCTGGCTTCTCCGTCCATCAGGAACTGAACGTATGAACACAGAGAGCAGGCCTAGGCTGGCCTTCAGCAACAGCCGCTGTTGTGATCATGGAACTGATACATGTCAGCTGAGCTTCCAACAGTTGCTGACATTCACTTGCATCGCCTTTGCAATAATCTGGACGAAATGCTTGCGCTAGACCATCAGCCCACCAACAACGGTTGAGCACTGCGCAGGTCTGGGGCACTTACGACGGATGGTGGCTCGGCCGTCATCCACTAAGAAAATGTTACTCGTGGGTGCAAGCCACACCCACTGCCAGAGAGAAACACGAGGAAGCACCCAAGCCCGTGAGATGACGTACTCGGGCAACATTCAAATCCTCTTTTAACTCTTTCTTGTGCTTCTTCCTTGCGTGAGAGGCGACGCTGGATTTGACAGCACACTGCCAGCCATTTTGGCATTTCCCAAGCCAGCCCTATCCAGAATGCTGGCTCAGACTGGAATCATCGTTGTCCGTGCGTTGTCGGAGATCGGGGGCCCTTCCGCCGTGCGTGCGGCGCGCATCAGGTCCACGACCGTTGCGACGCCACACGCTATCACGTGTCGATAAGATAACAGCAAGGGAAAAAGACCCCTGGTTTTATCAACTTTTTTTTTCCCCTTCGCTTGGGGGAGCTTTAATTAGCAAGAGGGTCGTGGCGCAGAGTTTCCAGAGTTTCTCGATTGCGCGAATGACTACCTACACAGAAAGCTGAAGGTCCGGTTCACACAATCAGTCGGCACCATGAGCAAGAAAATCCACGATGCTGGTTCTGACTCCGACATGGAGGACGGTGGCGCTAAGCTGAATGCACCCACGGTTCGCCTGACTCCCCGAGTCTTCAGCTGTCACGATTCTAACCCCCACCTTTAGGAGCAGTCAACCGATGCCATGGATGTAGATGTCCCACCAACTCCTGCCGACAAAAGACAGGCAGCAGCTCTGGCTCGCGCCGAACGAGCTGCGCGTAGAAAGCAAATCCGTGAGGGGTTAACGCCAGGAGGCTCCCAAATCTCCTCCTTAGCCAGCACACCAAATCCCGAGTCCCAACCCGCATCGCCTGCGCTCAAAGCTCAAGAAAAGAAGACAAGGGGAAAGAAAGCGACAAGAAAGAGCACGGGCATGGCTGAGAAGAAGGAAGAAAAGCCAGAGGACAATGCGACGACAGAAACCCCAGGCGAGGCCGCCACAGCAGCAGAGCCCGCAGAGCCCGCAGAGCCAGCAGAGTCCGTAGAGCCCACAGAGCCAGCGACAGCGCCTACTCCTACTCTTGCAACGGATGCCGAGCCGCTCCCCTTCGTACTCGATGTGAACCCCACCAAGGGCAATATCGCCGACAACACAAGCGCGTCCGTGGCCGGCGACGCCACATCCATTGCCCCCAGCTCGATGTTCGGCGGCGACAGCCAGATGGGAGGGCCCAACCGCGCGGCTAGGCGGCGGCAGATGCAGATTGACAACCATCGCAAGGTGATCAAGAAGCAGCTCGGCATTCCCACCGATTCGGACGAGCGCGCGGAGGAGGTGGACGTGCTGCTCAAGACCTGGGTCGCCGAGTTTGACGAAAAGATCGAGGCGCGGGTGGCCAAGAAGCAGGCCAAGAAGATTGCGTCAAGGGGACAAGCAAGCGGTAAGCTTTACAAAGGACTAAACAACAAGAACGATGAGAAGCAGAAGCAAATAAAGAAGCAGAAACAAAAAAAGGCCCTACGAGACCGGCAGGGAGGCAACTAGGGGAGAAGTTGGCCGATCTACGGCTCGATGGGGCCCCGCCGACTATGGGGAGCAAAGGCGCCATGAGGGAGTAATGGATGTGTGATGAAAGGAAAAGGAGGGAGAACACAATCAGACAAAAGTATATACGCATGCATATTGGCGTCTAGCGGGTCAAATGGAAGGAGGATATCTCAACATTAAATTGAACGCCGAGCTCAAGTGCCGGCAACATTTCGCAAGATGGCGAGTTCCTCGTACCCGTCACAGATCGCAACATGCAGACCGTACTTATGTGATGGTGCTCAATAATAGTAATGTACAGCCAGGGGAGATTGTCACCAACCCGTTGATGCTCCAAATCGCAACCCTCAACGCCTTTTTGCTAGACTTCCTACTAGCCAATGTGTGTACCTAGACTCGGGTCGGACGACTTCCCTCTATAGCCATTATTTTTTTTGTTCTTGGTATCCTACACCAGCCGTCACGTCTTGTACAGAAACGCCAACTCGTTATTGCTTCTTCTCGCCATCCTTCTCCTCACTCGACTTCTTCCCCTGCTCCTCCTCCTCCTTCCTCGCGCCGCTCCAAACCTCGGAAACCTGCTCGGCGATCAAATCACCCAACCCCTTCCCCTCAGCAAGCGCCTTGGCATGCTCAGCAGCCCTCTTGGCCTCCCAGTCCTCGGGCTCGCTACCGTACCACAGCCTCTGCGCGAGGTTGCGCTTCTTGAACTCGATGGCGCGCATCTGCTCCTCCGTCAACCCGTCGCGGCGCATCCTCTCCTCGCGCAGGAGCTGCTTGGTGCGCTGCGCCTGCTCGGGCAGCGCGGTGGGGAACATGCGGGCCATGCGGGATTGTACGCGCTGCATGAGGGATTGGCCGCTGTAGTCGTAGATGAGCTGGTTGCCTGAGGCGGAGAAGCCGGTCCAGAGCATGAAGGTGCGCCAGTCGAGGCGGCGGGGGGGCATGAGCATGATGAGGGGGCAGAGGACTACGCCTGCCCAGGCTGCGTTGGTGATGATTTGGGGGGTCGGGGTCGGGGTTGAAGGGAGGGCGGGTTGGCCCGCGGGTTGTGAGGTTGAAGACATTGTGTGTTTGGTTGTGATGCTTTCCGCGGTAGAGGTTTTGTCGGGGGTGAGGTAGAGTGGAAGCTGCTCGGGTCGGCGGCTGAGCAAGTCTCCTCGCGGGTTCGAGTGCTTCGACGCCGTGTTCGTAGGTGGTCTTCGAGTTCGGGACGGAGATTGGTGTCACAAGGTAGGTGGATGATGTCGGGTGTTTAAGTCAATGACGATTGATGAAGGTGTTTTGATGCAGGTGCAAAAGAGAAATCTCCCAAAAATTTAGAGCCGCGCTAGGCCCCGGCGCCGAAACTCGAGGTGGGGCCGAGCCGGGGCTCCGGGACACAAATCACCTGAACCGATAACACCGTACGTGCACCTGGCTTACATGAGTGCTTCCTAGTAAACCCTCGAAATTCAAGCGGCAGACATAAATAATCAGACGAGATCAAGTATTTCAGATTCAGACCATAGGTAGTTGCAAGTCTCTCTAACGGCTTCTAAGCTTGGTGGGTACCGAGGTTCGATTGAACACCGTCATGTACTTCAGGACATACTTCATTAAGCTGGACGCGAGAAGTATGTCCGAAGCTCACATTACGATGACTGAATTAGAACGAGGGTTTACATGGCTAGATGGAAGACGAATCCCGTTATTCCGGGCGATCTACTCATCTGAAGCACGGGGGAAACCGAGCATCCTTGACAATATTGGACAACGTAGGACGTATCTGACCAGCTTTCTCATTTGCGTTGCATCCATCATCCAGTTGCTTAACTGTGCATTATCAAGTGTATTCCTGTTTACATACGAGAAACAGGGAGTATCATTTAGAAGTGACTACATTTCACAGGTAGCACCTGCACATCATTCTTCAACATCTGTAGAAGTGAGCAGCTTCAATGTCTCGATTGGGAAAGTTATGAAGTCAGCGGAGTCCTCGTGGGCTCTACCGCTGTCTCTCTTGCTCATCTGGTCAAGATGAAAGCGTCCGATACCACAAGCAATTTTCTCCTCATTAGATCATCACTAGTTTGCTTCATTATCGTTGAGATATGACATCTAAACAACACTGACCCCAAGAAACGCCTGCGTACATGCGACACAAAACCAAAACACAAGACTTTTCTAGTTTTCCTACTTTTGAACTCCTCCGGATGCAGATGCGTGAACAGAATCCAAAATAGCCTCCTCTTCCTGCCACAAGTGAGCGCCCGTCTCCTTCAGCAACTGCACGCACTTCTCCTTGCCCATCTTCTCGGCGAGGTAGAGCGGCGTGTTGTTGGCCAAATTCCTCGAGTGCACGCTGGCGCCCCTCGTCAGCACTTCGCGCAAGATCTCAATGTTGGGCCCGACGGCGGCCAGGTGGACAGTCGTGTTGCCCGCGTAGTCGGCGGCCTTGAGGAGCTCGTGCTGGGCGTCGTTGTCCAGGATCTCCTTCACCGTCCGGACATCGCCGTTTCGTATGGCGTAACCGAGGACGGTAAATGCCGATTCTGACGCGGTTAGTCGCGCTACGACCGAGTCGAGTGAACCAGATGGATGCGAAAATACCGGAAGAGCCATTTCGGTCATTTCGCCCCGCAGCGACTGCGACATTCTCGCGCTGACCTGGGCGGTGGAAAGGCTGGGGATCGCGAGTAGGTAGGATAGCTTGGTTAGGGCAGCCTCGGCTGTGAGATCGAGACCGAAGATGACGCCGGCGCGGCCGAGTTCCGTTCCGGGGCCGTAGACGGGGGAGACGAAGCCGCTCATGCACTGACTGACGTTGACGACAATGACACCGCGGTCCACGGCGGCCTTGATGACCTTGGTCAAGCTGCCGTCGATACCACTGGGGGCGTTACCCATGCCAAAGGTCTCGAGAATGAGGCCGCGCAGGTCGGGGACACGCAGGACCGAGTCGAGCATCTCTGGCCTGATGCCAGGGAACACTCGAAGACAGGCAACGTGAGCTGTATCTAGGTGCTTCGTGACCTGGAGCTCGGCGATTCTAGTGGGCCTCAACACAATGGGCCAGTTCACATCAATACCAAGCCCGTTCACCTTGGCCAGGGGCTCGCAGTTGGGGCTGGCAAAGGCCTCAAAAGCGGCAGATGAGACCTTGCTGGTTCTGTTGCCGCGGAACAGCTTGTGGTGGAAGAATAGGCCGACTTCAGGGATGACAAAGGTTCCTGCGATGATGAGCGAACCGAGGAGGTTGTCGACGGCATCGGACTGAAGGGCAAAGATGGAGGCCTGGGAACCGGTGAGGATGACCGGCTTACCCAGGTCAGAAAGCATGAAGGACAGAGCCGAGGCCGTGTACGAAAGAGAGTCGGTCCCGTGCAAGACGACAAATCCGTCAAAGAGACGGTAGTTTTCCCTGATGGTCTGGGCGATTTCCGTCCAGCCTTCCGCTGAGATGGAGCTAGAGTCCAGCAAAGGGTTGAACTCCAGCACGCCGTAGCGAATGTGACGGGAGTAGGCGCTCGGCGGTGTTCTCAAGCTGTCAATCATGATCCTTTCCCCATTTTTGACGGCCTCAAGTTGGACTACGCATTGTCAGTGAGACTCATTACAGATACTACTTATTTTGCCAAATAGTGCTTCAGTCTAGCCAGGGCTGGGTAGTTATGTTCATGAACAATTCTAGGAATTAGGAACTCTTCATCGGATTGGGCCAGCGTTATCAACATGAAGACCAGGCAAAATCTCATTTCTTGACTTTAGTGTTCCCTGGGGGCGTGCTGTCTTTCAGAGAAAAACCTACCAGGAGGGGATGACTTGTCGTTGAACGAGGGCCGCGGGGCCATGGCATCCTTTAGGAAGCCTCCAATGGGTTGAAGTCCATCGGCGGTTGGCTGCATGCAGATGGTTCCGCCCGTCATGATAATGAGGACTCGAGACTCTGGGTAGTTGGACGCCGGCAGGAGTCTCTCGGCGGTAGGTTCGAAAGCCATTGTGTCAGTGTATCGGTGGTGCCGAGGTCGAGTTTTGTCAACTAAGGTAGCGAACACAATGAGTGAGGGAAAGTTGGTGCCGTCCAATTCGGGACTTTATCAAGTAGTAGTTCGGATACCAAAGCCTCCACAGATGGGTATAGTAAATTGAGGGGCACGGGGAAGTGGAGGGGCAAGAGCTTTTGTATGGAGAGCGAGGCGACAACAGTTGGCCAGTGTCACGCACGGGTGGTGCAAAATTTTGTAAATTTTGTCGGACGGAGGAGTCTGTGAGAGACTATGATGGGCGGGCAGTGATGGATGATGAAAGCACGCGAGTGGAGACGGATGGCGAGTCAATCAAGTGATTTGTGGCATACACCAGCAATTTAAAGGTAGCTAGAAGAGCCTTTGGTGGCCGGTATACGGCAACGGCCTGGATGAACCTGACAGGAGCTGGCTGACATTGGGTTTTGCTGCTTGACCGAAGCCTTAGATAAGGAGGGACAAGGGAATGCGGGCAAATATCAAACATTGCCCCTCGTGCTTGACGGTACGCCTTATCACGATAAGCCAAAAGTTGTTGCAAAACTTGGGCGAAAACCCGAGTAGAGCCAAGTATCGCGGGGCAGAGGTGATGGGACAAAAGCCGATAGCGGATAGCGGGGAGAGTTTTGGAGGGGTAATAATTAAGTAACAGAACGGCCACGACAGCGGCGTGACCTTTTCAAGGAACCAGGCATGGCTGGCTAGACTCGACGAGGGTGTGAGTCGCTGACCGTGGAGCAACTCGTGTGTGGGAGGGTAATGTGCTCAGGCAAAGGCTACCTACGGGAGAGAGTTCTACGGTTGTTGTCGATATTTTTTAATGTGCCAAGTTGGGTCCAGGATGGAATTAGATCTGGTATTTGCTCGATCGCGAATTGAAATCAGCCTAAAAAAATGCGACAAGTTGGTTGCAGAACTTCACCTTCAGACGATGACGCACGTGCGCGGACTAGGCCAGATTGGACCTGCCACTTTTTTTTTCCACCGAAGGCTCAGGTACGTTCCTTTCCTCCACTCGGTACGGAGTATTGGCGACATTCCATCCCTTAGGTACACACTCGGCAGGACCCACAATGCAGGACCAGGGATTTTCCGCGACCTTTGACTTCCATCATCGCCAATCTGGAACTTGATTGGGATTCTGCCACAGACACCGCCCAAACGCCAATCCATCTTCAATCACCTGGGAAGGTGGGATCTAACAGCTACAGGAACTCCACGCTATCGACAGAACACTTTATCTCAGCATACATACACGCCAGCCACGATTATTCTCGCGGAAATCTGGCGACCACTAGCAATGCGACTCGTTTAGTCGTCGTTCGCCCTTGATCCCATCCATCACGAGAACGTCCGATCGAGCAAGCCAATCTTTCACGCGACCGGCGCATCTCGCCGCGCTTCGCAACCATCATGGATTCCAGTGCGCCCAACGGGGGCTTATCGCCTCGGACTTTTGCGATGCAGCACCAGCGTCCACGCGCCAGTTTCCAGGGATGTTCACGAATCTCTGACTACGAACTCCTTGGAAAGCTGGGCGAGGGTACTTTTGGGTTAGTCCAGTTCCAGACCTTGCGTCTCTAGCCGCGTTACTGATTTACTGTGCAGTGAAGTCCATCATGCGAGATCTCGAAAGACCAATGCTCACGTCGCCGTCAAGAAGATCATCATGCACCATGAAAAGGATGGCGTACGTGTGATCCCCGTACCTACACAACCAGCGCATCTACTGACTGTCGTTCAACAGTTCCCCATCACGGCATTGCGAGAAATCAAACTTCTGAAACTGCTCTCCCACAAAAATGTCCTGCAGCTGGTGGACATGGCTGTGGAGCACCCTCAGAGAGCCAGTAAGTCGCTCATGCTCAACTACCCAATTCGCCAGCAGCAATTCCTGACCCGAATTGTGACAGGCGACAAGCGCAAGCGCCCGATTATGTACATGGCAACTCCGTACATGGATCACGATTTGTCGGGCCTTCTCGACAACCCTTCTGTTCATTTCACCGAACCGCAGATCAAATGTTACATGTTGCAGCTCCTCGAAGGATTGCGATATCTACACGACCAACATATCCTGCATCGAGACATGAAGGCTGCCAATCTTCTCATCAACAACAAAGGCATTCTCCAGATTGCCGACTTCGGTCTGGCAAGACACTATGAAGGGCCTACGCCCAAGCCTGGACACGGTGCCGGGGAGGGGAAAAGGGAATACACCGGCCTTGTCGTTACTAGGTGGTACAGACCCCCGGAATTGCTGCTTCAGCTGAAACGCTACACAACCGCCATTGACGTCTGGGGTGTTGGGTAAGTGTCAGAATCTACACATCTTTGGGGCCCGATACTAATGATGTGAATAGCTGTGTCTTTGGCGAAATGCTCGTGGGAAAGCCAATTTTAGCTGGTGAGAGCGATACCCACCAGCTCGACATCATCTGGGATCTGATGGGGTCGCCCACATCAGAGAATATGCCCCTATTCAACACTCTTCCTGGCGCCGAAACAGTGGTCCCACGCTCTCGGCCTGGCAGCATATCCAACAAGTTCAGAGAGTACGGAACCGGAGCAGTCTCTTTGCTTAAGGAGCTTCTTAGACTCGATTGGAGAAGTCGCATCAATGCCGCCGATGCGCTGAATCATCCGTACTTCAAGATGGCTCCCATGCCAGCCGAACCAGGAGACTTACCCACATTCGAAGCCAGTCACGAACTAGACAGGCGAAAGTTCCACGACCGTCAAGCGAAACTCCCACCGGCGCCTAAGGGAGGCACGGTAGGCATGGGGCCCGAGGCTCATGGTGCAAATGCCGGATTCAATAATACCGATGCTTACAACAATCGCAATGGTGTAAACGGTCGCAATGCCAATGTACCCGGCGGTCACAGAAACGGTAGCGATGAGCGCCGACCAGCTTGGCAGCGCGACAACAGAGGCTTACCTCCGCGACCGCCCCCACCCGAGTATGCTAATGGGGGCCCTATGCCGCCTCGCGAAGACTACCGAGACAGAGACAGAGATAGGAGACCGAGAAGTCGGGGAGGAAGAGCTCCTGATGTAGACACGTACATCCCGAGCTACAGAGATGATGTTCCTCCAAGGCACAGAGACGACCGGCCTCCTCGCGACCGACGCCGCAATAGTAGAGATGAGCGATGGCACGATCGAGACTGGGATCGCCGGACGCGGAGCCGTAGTCGCTCTCCCATGCGGGAACGGGACGCATACCGCAGATGAGATTGCGGCCTGTACAAAAGACAGTATGATATCGAATGGCAGGACAGCTCGGCGAAGCACTGGGACAGGCGTTTGGGGGCGGGAGCATAATTCCAAGCAAGGTTGGTATATAAGTGATTCCCCGGTAATGAATGCTTCCCTTCCCTGCAGCATATGGTATATGTAAAGAAAGGCCGAATTACAAAGTCAAATCTCTGAATCATCGTCGTCCTCCTCGTGAATTGTCTGCGACCAAAGTCCAGGAGTTCGCCTCCGTCTCTTTGGGGGAGGCTTGTTCAGCAACTGCCAATCAGTCTCGTAGGATGACGAGTCTTCTGTTTTGCCTGTCCCGGGCCGCTCTGACAATGGTGTCCCCGGCATTGGCGTTGCAGAGAGAGAATTTGACCTCTCATCATGCATACCGAGGATTGAGGTGATGACGCCTGACGTGCAAGCCATAGTCAGGCCAGCCAAGATACCGATGCACGCTCCGCAGGCCAACTATGGGGAAGGTTAGTGCATCAGGAGTCCAATTCCTGTACGAGTAAGGCAGGAAACTAACAAATGTGTAAAGGGGCTGTGTTCTGCCAGTTAGCAATGCCGTCAACAACATGCGTTCCAAGGGAGGGTCTGCTTACCTGGAGACTGGCTATGAAGTCGATGACAGATTGGCACCATCCCAGGACAAACGTTGCCATCAGTAACAGAGGCGATAGTAGGATGAGGATCACGTTGATGAAGAAGGCGACAGGCTTCCAAGCGATTCTTGCGGGCCATGTCGCGATGGTGAACACGCCAGAGGCGTATGACAGCAGTGCCATGATGTGAGATACCCTTGATGGTGATACCTAGGTTTGTTGATGAAGCGTGACAGGGGTAGCTCAGTGCAAGCTATACCTGGAAAAGGGATGACCACTCTTTGCTCACCCAAGCATGGCAGTTGGATCAGCTTGCAATGACCTGAAAGGACGCTGAGAAGAGGCAAATGATGACTGAGGAAAGATTTCGGTTAAAATCAAGGGCGGACGTATAGTATAGTTCGGTGATGTGAGGCTGTTTACATTCCAGCCTTTAATTCTAAAATCCGAGGGTTAAGGTGCCACGGTGCATTTACGGCCTGTAGGAGGAACGTGGGAGAGCTGACTTGGCACCTGCGACTGGCGTTGAGTTGAGCTCTAGCTCGAAAATGGAAGGAAGTGCTAGCTCCTACAACGTTGCCAAGCAGGCAAGCAAAAGTAATCGGACGGCCGCTTTCAGTGAGGGACAGAGCTTGACTTCATCAGACCAGGGTGGGGCGGGGAAAAGATGGATGGATGCAATTTAAGTCTGCGTGCACTGACCAGCTAGAGGTGTCGACCAAGCACACGCCATCCTTATCATTCCAGTGCTGTCATGATCCGTTGGCTCATCATTTTTGAGAGGAATTACTGAATGACCAAGTCCACGATGCAGAACCAAAATAAAAGACGGAAACTGAATGTCACTGGACGCTAGAGGTCATTTGATAGGTAACCCGAGATCCAGCTACTGTAGAGATGACGGTAAGGCCGGCCGGTAGGATGACAGGTCAGGTCTGTCTGCGAGTCGCACAATGATGGGCTACGCGAAGGCCCGCCGGTACTTGGTTCCCCATGGTCCGCAATATGCGATATGGAGTACCAATCATGTAGAGCTTATCTGGCTTCGGCTACATTTGTTCCCCCCCAACTTCAAGTGGGAACACACCACCA